AGCGATGCAATAGGTCTCAGGGATCGTGAAGGCATCTTTCAAGAGGCAAATCACTTCGTGCTTGACTCATGCCCGTTTGTCCGGTCTGTTGGTCTTGATGTCAGCAATGGTATGGGGTTTTTGTGGTTACCCAATCAACTCCCATGCTATATAAAAGACTGCAATCAATTCCAGTTCCAAACGGAGGAAAGCAATTTGATTCGAGCATATTTCTCTAGATCATTTGATTTCATTCCAGGCGTACCAGGTGAGGTGGAACCTGTTGAAGCAGAACCCGAGGTCCGGTCTCCTGAAGGTGCGATTCCGCATTCAGTTGTAGACGACATTCGTGGCGTTGCTCCAGGTGAGGCTTTGCCAAAGGTTCCTGAGTCTGAGAAGTTCGTGCGTGAACGGGAACTTGCACTGTCCACCAAGCATTGCATGACACATTTCCCTAAGTCCGCACTTTGTGATGTTTGCAATCGTGCTAGGTTGTACTCAAAACGCATCAGATCCCATCGTAGGGCAGACGAAGAGAGTGATCTTCCTGTTCCTGAAGCGTTCGGCCAGCAAATTGCATGTGATCACATGATCGTTTCAAAGTCTTCGTCGGGGAAGGAATTTGTTGTTCTTGTGGTGATGGACTTGTTCAGCAAAGTTTTCCAAGCATACCCTCTGGCAACAAAAGATACTGATTCGGTCAAGGAAGCCCTGAACCATTTTGTGGGTGTAAAGGCCAAGAACCCTCAAACCATTTGTAAGTCAGACTGTGCCAAGGAGCTTCTGAAAGCCATTCGTTCACTCGGTTGGTTGTCAGACGCATCATTGCCTAGGAGATGGCCTCACAACAGTGTACTTGAAAGACAAATCAGGTCCTTTGAAGAGTCTTGCAGAAGCATGCACTTGCAAGCAGGATTCGCTGTGTTCCCAAAACTTTGGACCTTGACATGCCAGTACACAGCTGTTTCCATGAGCATCGAGCATTGGTCAAAGGCTTTTGGTTCGGAGTTCAAAGGTGCAGATTACATTTTGGGTCAGTTGGTTTTCTATAGAACAAAGTTTCAAGAGAAGTCAAAACTCGCCCCCAATTCTTCACCAGCCCTAATGGGAGGTTGGAAGCTTGAGTTTGGGTGTCGGTACAAAGGTGTTTTGAGACTTGTGGATTACAACTCCTTGAAGCAAGGTCATGTTTCCATTGTGGTCGCCCCGGATCAAGAGGTTTATGTTCGTGATGAGCGTGTGTTTCCGTTGAGAGATCTTGCAGAGAAGGCATTAAATGACTTCTCGGATCCTGATGTTCGTCAACTCGCTGACGTGGATCCTCTGCCAATTCCTTTCATCGAAGATACCCCAGAGACTAAGTCTAAAGCACGCAGAGTTTACATCACGTACAGTAGGATGCTGAAGATCGGCCCGACAAAGGGATGCAAAGGTTGTGATGCTGATTCGTCTGCACACAATGCCGAATGCATTGCCCGGTATGAGGAAGCATTCGGTGCTGCTCCTTCGACCCCAGCACCTGAGCCTCCGACCTTCGAAATGCCGAAGATCCTAGGAGACTTGATTGACGAAGAGTACACCCCAACTGTTTTGTCAGAGGCCGAAGAGGATGAGGAGGAGATTGTCCCAGAATGTCCTCCGCCCTCTGATGATGAAAATGAACCTGAGGGTGATGAAGCTCGTGTTCATGCAGGCATTAATGCCGTCCTTGCCATGTCTCATGATGCCATTTCCAAGAAAGCTTCAGAAACAATCGTTCAAGAAACGTATGCATCAGCAGTCGCTGCAAGCAATGAGAGCTGTCTAGGAGCAGCTGCAAAGCCTGAGCGTCTACACAGTCAGATCCACAATTCCCCAGGTGGAAAGATTTTGTTTGAGTTTGCCTGTGCTTCAGACTCAGCACTCGGTAGGATTGGTGAAGAGCTTGGAGTTCAAGTTGTAAGACTTTGTAAGGAACACATAGATCTTGCAAGTAAAGCAAACATCGACCAACTTGTTGAGCAAGTGAAAGCCATCCCTGGTTGTTCAATCCATGGTTCCATTGAGTGTGGTCCCTGGAGTGCTTGGCAAAGATTGAATGAAGCAAAGAACCCAAGATTGTCCAACATCCTTCGAGAGAAGCGTAGGGAGAGTGTTTCAATGATGCATTCGTTCATCAGGGTTGCAAACCATGTTCTTGATAATGGTGGTTTTGTGTCTTTTGAGTGGCCAAGGTATTGTTCAGGGTGGATGAGTGAGCCCCTAGCTTCCTGGATCACAGAAAGGCAACTGCTGTCTGCCACTTTCGATGGCTGCACCGTAGGAATCACTGCCAAGGACAACAAACCCGCTCGAAAGCCGTGGAGGTTTGTCACGAATAATAAGAGGTTAGCTGATTCTTTGGGAATGTTAAAGTGCACGCATGACAAGCATGCACCCCTTGAAGGGAAGTACACTCGAAACTCAGCTTTCTACCCAGAGCCTCTTTGTCAGATCATGTTGCATGCTTTGTTTCCACATGTTGTCAATGTTCATGTGTTTTGCATGCCGTGCACACCTCGCGTGAGTCATTCACACCGGCAGCATGTTGTCAAAGGGATGCCATGTGTTCCCATTGATGTCCTCATGCATGAGAGTGGATGTAAGGAGTTTGTAACACCAGCATTCGTTCATCGTTTGTTGGAGCGTGCTGAATGGAAGGGTCGCCCAGAAGTTTACCTTGCCATTAAAAGCGAGAAAGATGGTTTGGTTTTGGAAGGGACTTGGGTTGAAGATGAGATTAGGTCAAAGGCAGACGTGATCAGGGAATTTCCCAATGAAACACTGCATTTCGGAGCCCTAATGGTGATAGTTAGCATAAAGGGATATGAAAAGAACCCAGCTGACTGGAAGATCAAGGCTCGGATTGTTTTCCGAGGTGACGCAGTCAAGGATCAGGGGGGCTTGAGCGCCATCTTCCAAGATCTTGCTGCTTCCGCTCCGAGTTCAATTGCAGCATTGAACACAGTGATAGCCTTTTCAATGATCGAGGGAAACACTTGTTCAACATCCGATTGCGTCCGGGCCTATATTCAGTCCGCACTCGGCACGAAGCATCGAACGTTTGTGATGCTACCGCCTGAACTTGTGCCAGATTCCAAGAAGCACATCCATATGCCTTGCGCGCAGCTGTACAAGAGCCTTTATGGCCATCCAGAGTCGTCGGCGCACTGGCAGGCCCACCTTTCCAAAATCTTGCAAGAAAAACTCAACGGTGTCGAGTTCAGTGAGATGCCCTCGGTTTTTCGATTCGGTCGTTCTCTAGTGATGAGCGTCTATGTAGACGACCTCACACTCTCAGGAGTAGCCTCCGAGCATGAAGGATTCTGGAAAACCCTCAAGCAGTACATAAATTTAGATCCACCGTCAGAATATGGAAGAGTCTTAGGACGAAACCATAGGCTTGTGTGGTTTCAAGGGAGCAAAGCAGTGGCCTTAGAATCGTCTGACTTCGCAAAACAGTGCGTTGAACTGTATGAAGAGCTGGCGAAAACGCCGGTGAAGGCCTATTCCTCGCCCTCATGGGACGATGGAGCCCTGATCCCTGCTGATGACGAGATCAAGGGGCAGCTCTCGCCACATTCGGCCAAATTAATTATGAAGTTGATGTGGCTCTGTCGCATTAGCAGGCCAGACGTCACATTTGCTGTCACTCTGTTGGCGAAACACATTACGGTGTGGTCGGCCAACGACGATAAAAGAGCCGCAAGACTCATTGGGTACTTGCAAAAGACCCATGAATACTCCCCGATAATGTGCATTCGTGATCCGCCAGAGCAGTTGAACTTGTCTCTGTATTGCGATGCCGATTTCGGTGGTGACATCAAATCAATGCGTTCAACCTCTGGATTCATCCTTGCAGTTGCGGGTCCCTCCAGCTTTGCGCCAGTGAGTTGGAGTTCCAAGAGGCAGAGCGTGGTTGCAAGATCGACCACGGAGAGCGAGTTCGTCTCACTTTCCGGTGCCTTATTCTCCGAGGCGATCCCTACCTTGGAGGTATGGCAAGCGTTGATCCCCGGAATGACCCTGAAGGTTTTCGAAGACAATACAGCTGTGGTCTCGATTATCCAGAAAGGTTACTCCAATAAATTAAGGCATTTGAGTAAAACCCACCGCATAAATGTGGCCTCAACTGCCGAAACCGTCAACAATGCTGATGACATCACAGTCCAGCATATCGAAACGACTCAGCAAAAGGGTGACGTGTTTACTAAAGGATTGCCGTTGTCCAAATGGGGAAATGCCTTGGAGTTGTTGCAGTTCTCCCTGAGTCCGCTCCCGTCTTATGATGCAGGCAGGAGCTCGCATGACTAGAGCTAAGCAATAGTCAGCCGCAGTTCAAAGCTAAGCTAGATCTGCAATAAATGAGATGGTTAAAGCTAAGCGATAACCAGCAGCAGCTCGAAACTAAGTTAGATCTGCCTCGAATGAAAGTCATGACAATGCATGCAGCACAGTGCTACTGCCCAGCGTAGCGCCAAACTTGCATGAAGGGTGACTGGCTGCTTGAAGCGCCGCTCCCAAGCTGCCGTTCGCAAGCCTGTTAGGTTAAGCTTGCAGTCTTTCGATAGGAATTGTCAGGTCACAGACGGTTCAAGCAATGAAGCGACTGTCTCAGACCTGGAATACTAGCTGTACATATGTTCATCTCACTATGAGGGGGGACTTGAAGTTTCCTGTGTAAAGTACACCTCATATGTATAGACACAGTTCATGAACATTTGTACTTTTGGCTCAAGTGATAAAAAGGCCGCAGCCGCTGCCACTTCGCGGACACGGCGGTCTTTTCTGTGAGTTGGTTTCTTGGTGTTGTTTGTGTTGGTGTTCCGTTTTTCAACGGTTCAAGTATAATAGATTAATAAGAAGAAATGATAAAGTGGAGTTCGTTTGAATTTGTATAGAATATGAATAAACTAATAGTAACATATAGTAACTATATCATGATCAAAAAGAGCTCAATATACAAGTTTTTTCCAAATGACCTTGGTGCGAGTCGTCTCAGCATGGGGAGAACGTCTCGGTGGGATAGCCTTCGGGGAGAAGCCGTCTCGTCGATTCTGCGAAGGCTCGAGGCCTGAAGCGTTGTCCAAGATCTTGAGGTCCAACTTCCGCCCCTTGGAACGACGACGAGAGAAACCGCCGATTGACGAGACGAGACGAGAGGGCCAGTGGAATTCGTGGGTTGAAAGAGGGGGTGGTGGAATCCCTGCTTGTGACCTTTTACAGGCCTGGTCGTGACCTGAAACTGCGATGTCAAAATGTCACCTTGAATAACCTGAAAAGCTACTATTTATAAGATGAAAGAATCGATTGACTCACCTGAGTCGCACCATTTTGGATGATGTCCCCGATAGAACAGCTCTTTGTTTGGCACAGGGTCCACCTGTCTTTGCTGCTCTCGGGTCCAAAGAGGTCTGACCTTGGCTGGCTCCGGAGCCACCTGGAAGGACCGGAACCCGGGCGTGCCGTTGGGCCTGCAGATGTTTCCTGACGTAAGTCCCGGTTCCGAGCCACAAATCCAACGGGGTTCTTTGTGTTGGCATGGCTGGGTTCCTGCACCGCCTAAGATGGGCCGTGCCACTACTGGACTTGTAAACATTCACACTCAATTGCTTGATTCAAAGTCGTTTTGGTACGGAATACTGATGTTTGGCTTGATTATGCTTGCTATTGTTTGCTTGCTCTTTTTTTGCTGTTTTCCTTTCGTTCAGCTAGTCTTCCAAGACCAAGGTGTTGACATACATGAGCATTATTGAGCATTTCAATACTGCACCACTGGGTGGCAAAAGCACCTGCGCAGAACCCACTTGCAGCCCCTTGGATCAAAAGAACGAAGGAGGAAATGATTCAACCAGGGATGTAAAGCTCAATGGCAGGGATGTAAAACAGTAGTCCAAGGAGGAACTGTTCTTTGCAGTAGTCAACTTCCTTGATGTGTCGGGAACTGGGTCAGAACTGAGAAAAAACAACTGACAAACTGTTTCGAACTTGGACTACTTCACGCCCACTGTAGTTTCAAAAAGACCTTTTTATTTTTATTTATCGATCAAGACATTTTGTATCAATAGCTAAATAAACGAATTTTTCAGTGCTCGGTATAGAAGGAAAGCTTTAAAAGAATTTCATCCAATAAATGAATATATTCATTCAAAATATTCAACAAAGATTGTTTTTAACTTAATGTAAAAAACAATGATCAAAAAAATGCCATCAAATCCAAGTTTTTACTGGCCAGGTGCCCTACTGACCGGGTCTTAGCCATCCTGTATCCTCAAGCTACCGAAGCTACAGGGGTGGCTGCACAATCTCCGCCGCCTGGAGTTCTGCGTGAATTTCGCATGCAAACACGCTGCGAACTCATAGGTTGGATTCGTTTTTTGACCCTTGATAGGAATAGAATGGAATCGATTCAGTTTGATAGTGGAACTTGACTAAGATCTTGGACTTGATGCGGTTCTCCTCCGTTTTCGTTCCGAGAAGACTCGCCGCGAGGATCCGGGGAAAGCCTGTGGGGTGCCGCTCTATGGCTATGGCCTCTACTTCGCGGAGCGGATCACCAAGGCGATCAGGGGTCGGTGGACCGCAGGACTTTGCGGGAATCGGATCGAAAGGTCGGTGGACGGTTTTTCGCCAAGAACCCTCCGTCTTTTGGATGTTAACACTTTTTGATATACTGTAGTTATTTTATCTGTTATACTTAATTATGTTTCATTTGTTGCTTTTTGATGTTTTTTATTGTATGTCATACTTCGAAAATTCAATAATATGAATATGTGTCATTTGTTTAGTCAGTCGACGCAGTACACGAATGGCATCTCAATTGGACACCGGAGGGTCCCGTAGATCCCCGGGCCGCGGCGCCGAAGACATCGACCGAACCAATCGACGAACCTCTCAGATGGGGCGACCGGGGTTGACCAGTCCTGCTTCTGCTTGGGGGGTTGACCACCTCCAGGCCTGTTCGTGACTCACGAACTGAAGGAGGTGGTCCCACCCCCAAGCAGAAGCAGGACTGATTCGTGACCACTGTTTGTGACCTTTTATGATCGCCCTGTTCGCGACTGAGCAGGTACTGGATCATGACGTACACCATGTATGGAATATATACAATGCATTTACGGTCAAGCACCCCAGTGTATGTAAATATGACAGTCCCATGGAGTGTTGGGGTACATGGTTTCTAGGATTTCATCTGGCTTCTTATGTTATGCTTCAGCCATCACCTGCAAGGTGCCTTCGTTCAGCACCTGCAAGGTGTTTTCATGCCCTTCTGACGCGACCTGTCTGCGACTGCCACACTGCCCCAGACAGACCACCACCAGCTCACCGGACCCACTCGAGGCCGATGAGTATGCGCACCCGATCCAAGAGGGTGATCCTCTCCCTGTGGATCCAGGATCGCGGAGCTGACTTGTTTTTTAGTTTTGGGTAGGTGGGTGGAGTGGTTTGTTTGTTGGTTCGTTGGTTGGGTTGGTTTGTTGTTTTGGTTTGCTTTTGTATATGATTCGGTTACACTTATTTTAGTTGTATTATTTTTCTGTTATTTATGTCCTTGCTTTGGTGTTTCTCTTTGTTTCTCTGTTTGGTTGTTCAGTAGTTTGTTTGCTTGTCGTCGTTGTTGCTGCCGTTGGGTTAGGAGAGTGTGAGAGTCCTTGTATCGAAACACAGAAGAATGGGACCTGAAAATTCGGCCGGCCCAGGCCTTCTAACAAGCTCATCCAATGAAACGGAACAACACACATACCTAGTGCTTCCTGTTTGGGTGTCCAATGGTGACCTATAAGCAGTGTGGGGTTGTCCATTGGTAACCCCTTGGAAGCAGCTGGTATATTAAGCAACCCATTCTGATTCGCCTTCATCATCACATCTGCTGTTTTTGGTGCACGATTTTGAAGGCGATGAAGGGGTGTCAAGTCGGGTGTCCCATCCACTAATTGGGATCCGATCCCAACTGGTCATTTTGGGCATTCACGGTGTGTTGGAACACATGCAGAATCCGCGACCCAATCCGTGGGCAGCCCAATCCGCGACGGGAATCCGATCCTGACATCTTCACCTTCACTTCAGCACTTCAGCACCCGACTCTGCAGGACATGAGTCCACCTTCTACGCGGTCCTGGTGCCGGGGGTCCTGGCGGAAAACGTGGTCCCCAGGAGCTGCACCGTCCGGACGTCGTTTTCTTTCAGAGGAAGGTTGTCCTCCCAATGTTCTTCACATTGTTCATGGTTTTGGTAGGTGAACATCTAACAGCAGGCCTGCTATTGACACTGTTCCTTCTTGAAATCTTCACTTGGATTCATTTTGGCTACAGTAGTGATTATATAGTCAGCTTATCTCATGTAGACGTAACACAATGATATGGTGTTTCTACGGTTGATGCAACAACCTGGTGATATCTATACTAGTAGAGGGACACAGGGGGCTCTGCAGATTCCTTGTATGAGTTTGTTATACTTTAATTTATAATGCTATATGTATGTATATATATATATATCATTATGTCTTCAATAGCAGTTGCGCAGTCAGCCCGTCTCCTGCAACACTAGACACTCAAGGGCAATATATCACATGAAATTGAGGAAGCTCGACTTTGCCTCGAGCAGCCGACAAAAGAAAAAACAAGCAAACGGAATCAGAGCGTACAAGATCATGAGGGCAGTGAAGGATTCCAAGCTCTACGCATTTGAAGACTTTCAGAGTCTGGCTCTCCAAACCATGAAAGCTGCAGGTTTACATTTACTAGAACCAAGTTCCAGCAGTCACAAAGGGGTGCCTATTGGAGGATAGGGGTGCCCAGTATCCACTCACTTAGGGACTAAAAACCACCCCTTTGTGCCATCCTGGTTACTAGAACTTTTTGGACCAGGTAGTGAGACTTTGAACCAAATGGAGACCGGCCGGTGGGCTAAGAAGATAGGGGATCATGATCCTTTCTTGGAAGACTCGAGACGGAGTCCAGGTACTGGCAGACCCGGTGCATTATATCATATAATATATATAGAAATTCCCGACACCGCACCTGTGTGAGTGGATACAGCCTTGCCACCCATCTTTATTACATCATGTCCTTTTTTTCCGCCGTTCAGGTGTCGTGTGCTGGGTGGCCGAAGCAACTTAGTCACCACCAATGAGATCGAGCGGGAGAAGCTCAGGAGTGATGGAGCAGACCGCAGCGTTCAGCGTTCTCAGACCGTTCTCGACGGCAACCCGTCGCTGTCGACGTTTCGATTGGGTTGAGCAAAGATGTGAAAACGATGTCTAATGTCGACGTAGGATTAATAACCCCCTAATAAAGATGATGACCTGATGATGGATGATGAGATGATGACAAGATTAGGAAAGATTGGGATGGTTGGGATGATTAGAAAAAGAAAAATGATTGCAGGATGAAAGAGATGGAAAGCAAGATGGAGGCCAGAGGATGGGCTTGATTAATAGGGGGAGGGCCCCTACTATTAGAGGGTGGTAGGCCCTGTGTGAGGGGTACCCAATAAGGAAAAATGACATAATGTTGCTAGCGAGTTTCTTTTTGAGAAGAAACAGCAGGATGAGAAGCAGAAGGAGGATGAATGTGATGGATGAGAATGAAGCAGAAGGAGGGTGAGAAGCAGTGGACCAGAAGATATTGGATACTGCCCGATAAGAAATTTGATAATACATAATTATAGAACTAATTACTTTTTTTCTAGGGGAGCTGAGCTTGATTAATAATAGAGGGAGGTTTCTGCTAGGAAAGACCTTTTATTAGGGTGATGTACTAATGTACCAGGTTTTAAATTAGTTTAGTATTGGGGGCTCGAGCTGGGCTTGACTAATAGGGGGAGGTTACTTAATCCTATGTTGACAATATTGATCCCAGAAGGTTGGCCCAGGATTTCTATGTCAGGTTCTGAGTGGCTTTGATGTGAATTTGGAATGATTCGCAAACAGTGACGGACAAAACGGCTGACAAAGTGAATCTAGCAGCACTTAATTGTTGTGCAATTATAAAGTTGTCGGGTTCTCCAAATAGAGGACCCGCAAATCATCCCCACTTGGTACGGGCCCCGGAGGTCCCTATCTTTAGAAACACACCCATACCTTAGAGAGTCACAAAGCCCCGCGGACGTTGCAGGGTTTGGTAGTAGCCAAAGGGTGCAATATTCAGTCCATCCACAGTAGAGTCCACTGAGAGGATTAATTACATGATTTTGACACACTTCATTGCATGGCAGGAAGGATGTCTTTGATGGGCCTTTCCATTCAGCCGGGCACCTGGTAGTGTGAGCTGCAGCCAGACAAAATCACGAGTGTGCACTCTTCTCCCTTCAGTCTACACATTGCGGTTGGAACTAGGATGAGCTAGGATTGATCAGGTTGGATGAGACAACGAAAAGATCATTCCACGCCCAGATTGTTGCAAATAAATGGTTTATGTGCTATATATACATACATATCATCTCCGAGCCTGCCTTTTTTTTTAATAGTGATCCCACAGTAGATAGAAATACCAAACGGAACATACATCAACCTGAAAAGGGATACAATGCTGCCAATAGACCCTTTTGTTTGGACCCTGCGTGTCAATAGACTCTGGTGCGAAACCCCTGTGCCTGCAGAGTCTTTTTTCGCGAATCGCCGAGAGCAGGTCTTTGGTGACCGGGTCAGTAGCCTTGGCAAGCCGTGCGCCAACCGGTCATGCGACCGAGTTGCCGTGCGCGCGGGGATAGACTTTCGGGACAGACTAGGATATCGTCAGGCAGTCCATAGTCCCTGAGCTCTGAGCCGATTCTGCTTTGGAATACGGGAGTTGTCGATTCCAAAGCCTGCGACAGCTTACGGCCCAAGGGTTCAAAGCCTTCAAAGGGTTCAGTTTCCATCACGGCGCAACTGGTGGGACAGTCTGCAAGCCATTTTGTTGGGCGGGATCACGACGTAGATTCTCAGCTTTTGTGACAGTGATGTCTTCCAGTTTCCCGCCCCTTGCGCCGCTGCGCCGCTGCCCGGGCCCTCTTCGAGGTACAAGGAGGTCGTTGTGTACGACAAGGTCCTGATGACCTGGTGGGAGCTGTAGGAAAACCGACAGGTCACCACCTGGGTGGTACCGTCCAGTCTTGGAGTCTAAGTCCAAGAATGGACCATTTGAGGGACGGTGGGTGTCCTTTTTCCTTCATTTGACTCTAGTGAAGTGAAACAGGATGAAACAGGGTCACATCTAAACAGGGGTCACATTGGACATCACATGCCCCGCATGCTCAAGTTCTTTCGGGGGCACATGTGAATGCGATTGTTTTTTGGGGTGCAGAGTCGCCCTGACGCTTGCTTAGTCTACACAGTTTACAAGTCATGTTTCATACACGTACGCTCTTATGCATATGTACATTACATACCAAAAACACTAGTACATGTTGTTTATACATTTATCTGCATGTATATGTATGCATACATATACGTGTCAATGTCGTCGTCATTACTTGTATGTATTTACATATGCGTACCCACAGTACAAGGACCACAAGGCTTGAGCTTTTTGCCAAGGGCAAACATGTTGAGCTATACTGTGTCACACACTGCACATCTTTAGGTCTTTAAGACGGTTCTGGTCCAGTGTGCATCTACATACATTATATAGAGCTTTTTGGGGCGGCCATGATGTGTTCGTCGGAGTGTAGTTCTTGGGTTTTGCACCAGTGCATCCGTCCAACAGCACACCCTGTGCCGCACGCGGGCTCTCAGAGCTTCAAATGGGAGTGTATTCAAAATAAGGAAACCTCCCAACAGGGTGTCTCCTGTCTCCCACTCAAGTAGGTCTTCCCAGACTTCCGCACTTCGACAGGACCAAACCTTTCCGGAATACTTGCTGATCTATTCTCGCCAGTACTGAGCCGTGAAGTCCTTGGTTTCACTTCCCAGTTCGTCCCAAGACCGGCAAGTTGTAGCGGGTTTTTCCGTGGAGACCGAGCTGACCGAGAGTGGAAGTTGGAGCAGCCCAGTTCGTCCCCAGGACTTGTGTGGATTGAAAGATTGGCTGTACGGACTGGTGCATCCAGGATGGAGTTCCATCGTACGGACTTGGTGGACCGAGGGGCACATATGTTTCCCATGCAACTGGATGGGAGAAAACGACATGCACTCCTGGTGTGCGGGCTTTCATCACCAAGATTGGGGATGGTCGGGACATACAGTGCAAGCAAAAGAAGTCTGGATGGGTGCCACCACTCAAAGGGCTTGAAACAAGCAGCTCTATATTTGCTCTAAATGGAAGGTACATGAAGGTACTGTTGACACTGTCTTCGGCTGAGCCGGCTGGCCGGGTGGAATGCAGAATCACCCACAGAGAACCCTCTAAGCGGCGTACAAGTCCCAGGACCTCCAAGTCCCTGGGCCCAAGAAGACTCAAGGAAGGACCCACCTATTGGGTTCATCCGGGGGGTTGGACCAACCCAACATGGATGATTTGCGGGGCCCCCGGTCACGGCGCAACATGTGGCAGATTGAGATTTCAAGCCAACTTCCCAAGTGGAACCGCTACCTTCTGGTGAGCGAGCCAGACAAAGAAAAAAGACACCATTCACGGTGAGGTAGGACATGGTTCGGGCTTTCGTTGTTTGAAGGAAGACCCACCAGACCTGGTGCAGAGGACGGTCTGGCATGAGATGGGTCAATGCCTCCGTCGTGGGCCACGACTTGCCGTGCTTCGACTCCTCAAGCACCCAAGAAACAACAACACCATGAAATCCACCAAGTAGGACACGCCCAGTTTTCTAGGCCCCCCAGGATTAAATGTAGAGTTCAGTAGAGTTCTTCTATAATTACTTGTAGGATCTTGTAGGTTCAGGATGGTAGAGGTTATAAGACACATTATGAGCTTGTTTTCGAGCACTTGCAATTGATTTCTTGAACTTTGGCAACCGCTTAAAGGGTCGACGATATGAAACTATCCTTTGGGCGTGTTGTAAGGTGCTTGGCCAGGTGTCCCATCTTCAAAAGAACATTTGCACAAAGAAGACTTACTATTTATTCAATCCGTTTTTAATTGATTTGTGCGAGAAATGGGGTGTACAATTATTACTGCAGAGTTTTATCTAGAATTTTGTTTAAGACTGTGCATACATATAACTATCGTGTTTCTCCGGAACGAAATCACCACATCTCCTGGTACATTCGAAAGAACATCACCGAATCTACCAGTCTCAGCATTCGCCACGAAGGATCCGCGCGAGGCAGGAGGTCATTGACCTGGCAAACTCATCAGCCATAGGATCGTTACTGCGAGGTGCCTCGCAGGATTTGGGCGAAAAAGGGTGTCAGCCATCACTGAAGAGGCCGTCGGGAGCAGGCATTCGTGTGTGGAAAGCAAAGGGGTCAGAAACCACAAGGGTGTGTGGATGTTGAAGGAGCCACACATGAGAAACCTGGATGATTGTTGATGGTGCTTGATGACGACTTACAGATACTGACCTCCCCCGTTTTGTTCAAGTTCGCACCCAATCGCCACTTTGACCTGGAATGGGTCAGGTAAATGCGTAGAGAGTTGGAGCATCAGCTGAGGGCCTCATTGCAGCGTGATTTGTAATGATTTGTAGAAAAGAGATGTTGTTTTTCCAATTCACGAGGAGAAGTGCGGGGGGCCTACTTAGACTCTAAACCTTGGTTTCGCCAATGGATTCGCCATGTGCCGCCTGGTCTCCTTGGACGAGCTTGAGGTGTGCGGATCCGTCTTGGAGTGCCACGTCACTATGGATCCGCTTTCGTTCTTTAGGATTCAGCACATCCGACCAGTGAGTGGGTTAAGTGTGAAGGATGAAACGTTTGCGTGAGGACGGGGAAGATCTAGGGGATGTGGGGAGGAGAATCCATGACCCATAGCTGCTTGGCTGCAGTCCTGTACTTATCAAACCCAGCGCCCTTGATTCGGAGAGAGGTGCACCAAAGTGAGAGAGAGAGAGAAAGAAACATAGAGATGTGTATAGAACACAGCGAGAGGAAGCAGGCACGAGCAAGCAGCTGTGGCAGAGGGACTTGAGACCATGAAACGTAAATGCTGGGGAGTGTTTCCTGCGTGGGGAAGGCCCAGGGTTTAGCCATTTTATAGCCATTTTACCGCTTTTACCACCAACCTGGTCCTGGATGCATATTTTGAGGTAGAATGTTTCGCAAGACTACACGATTGGTGACATATTGGAAGGAACTTGGACACCCTGAAGTGATGCTGAGCAAGCCTACCCAGCTATGCAGCCTTAACAGTGAAGGCGCCATGTCGAAGCCCCTCGCGCTTCCAGTGGTGCCGATCGTGCTGCACCCTACACGTTCGAGTGTGGTGTGGGCTGTTGGAAGTGCCCTAGCAGAAGAGGTGAACGCATGTTAGACACCCTGGAAGAGACCCACATGGAACCTGAGAAGCATCGGTTTGTATAGAGGAACATGGTCTTCCAAAGGTAAATGTTCATGTTAATTATATTATGACATGTGATACTCTCCTTGCCCAAGAAGTATGTGGATCACCTACAAAACCGTTTCTGGTGGATTGGGGAGATTGTCCCACTCAAATCCAACAGGTGGGAAAAACAGGTTACACTCCCTAGAATCATCCACAGAAGTGGAAAATGACCAGCTGTCGCACCTGTTTGGTGTTTGGATTTCGTCATCCGAAATCGGGGCCGTGCCATCCAAGTAACACTCTTTCAGGGAGCGCAAGTAACCCCATAAAAGACCTCGATACGTATGAAGGGATGAGGGATGAAAAAAAACAAGTTAAGAAAGAACAATTCGAAGAATTTGAACAAGACGGCTTGAGGGATGTTTCCGTTCTATTTTTCAATGGCCAAAAAGACACGGGAAGCCGTCCCCCTGAAGCCCGGAGCCGCCGAGCATTGAGAGAGAGAGAGAGAGCGAGAGAGAGACAAAAACGCCCCATGGAGAGATCCGAAGTGGGATATCCCTTTCTGGGGATCCAACTGCGAAACGAAGGTACGACTGGATCCTTCCAAACCTATATAACAGTGTCGAACACATCACCGTACCTGAGAAGGTACGACTGGATCTTCAGGGTCTTGCGACCTGCAATATCTTTTGGGATGAACCATGATCAACCCTCATGAGGCTTCGTGGAATAGGCTCACAAGCCGGAGGCGTCGTGGAATGGCCCAGGCTGACTCCCAGTCATGCCAACTGAAAGCATAACAAGTGATTCTATTACAAGAACCCTAATGGAAGGATAGATGAAGGAAGCATGACATTTAAACACATGAAATGATGTTCTTTTTAAAGTGAACACGCCCGCAACTCGTTTACACTTTCGCACCTTTGCTCCACCCGCCCCATGTTTGCACTCCACCAGCGCTCCTGGTCCACAGCGTTGGCGAAGGTCATACGAGCAGTGACCTACCCGGGAAGTAGGTGGATCAGCCTGCAAAAACATGTTTTTTTGGGGGGGAGATTGGGGACACAATGGGACACCCCACTCAAATCCAACAACACCCCACTCAAATCCAACAGGTGGAACCAACACAGCTACATCAGCATTTTTCGAGGGAAAATGAAACTGAAGCTGTGCGCAACCTAGTCCATGAGGACCGGGTTGTACACGGGTGATCCGGCTGGACCGCCTGAGATGTTTTGGTATACAATTACAATTGGCAGGTTGGATGGAGCACAAAGGCAGAGGAGTTGAGATTGGAATTCCAACACCCTCCAGGTGCCCCAAAGTTCATCATGGGAAGGACTTGTTTGTTGCAGTGAAGGCCTTTGAAACATGACTTGGCCAAGTGTCCAAGTTTGTTTTTCTTCGGGAGCGTCCAGTTTGTCCTGGCCCGAACAATGCAAACTACTTGGGTATATAATAATAATATAGTTATATATGTACCACCCTGCAGATCAACATGGAACCCCAAAACCACTGGTTGGTAGAGGAAACCAGGGGACCATTGTGAGGTTCCATGTGAGTAACATCGGGATTTGTTACATCATCAGACCCTTGGGGCCTAGATCAGACCCTTGGGGCCTAGCTAAATATGTATCGACTGAGTGGCCAGGCCAGCAGGCCATGCCAGCAGAAAAGGTTTTTCGTTGAGTAACCCTGCAACGGCTCGCCCCTCGGAACAACACGACTGGGACTTATATAGAACTTTGCCTAAGACTCGTTGAGCAAACAATATTTTTTGTTGCTAGTAACAGGACCAAGTAAAAACTGAAAAGTAAAAGTTTAATTGAGACTATAAGGAAGTAAGGATTTTGAGGGTATGGCTCGCTGCTATGGTTGCCACCCTTGTCTTAATACAGCCTGGAGCCAGCCCCCAGGCCGGATTTTCGCCTATGACCTCCAGCTGAAAGCCTTCGAAGCGAAAGCTGCAGACCTTGAAACCCTGGGGCCTGTAAGAGCGCTGGACGTGTGGCAGGGCGAGGGGAAACTGCTGTGGCTGGCGGCAGGTGCTCCGGGTGCCGCTAGTGGTGGGAAGTGTCGAAGTGAAGCGGGATGAGCCTCCGAAGGGTCAAGATGAAGGTTAAACTTCTTCCACTTGTGTGGGGTGATGATGCGAAGTGGTGAGTGATGCAAAAGCCGCAACAGCCTGATTCAGGATTTTTAGGAGAAGATGCTTTCTCAGCTTGTCCAGAGGGTTTGTACCCTAGTACTTGTTTTAACGGTTCGCATGTCCAATGTCCAGCAAGCATCATCTACCTCATCAGCCGATCCAAGTAGGATGATGTATGTGTGTGTGTTGTTTTTTTTTTTAAAATTTACACTTCAACAAGCATGGAAGTGGACAACCCCCTTGTTTGTAGAGGATTCCATGGCTTTTCCAGGGGCCATGTTCCAGTTCCATGGTTGTTTCACGCTTATTCCGATTTATTCCTGGATTTTCCAACTGTGACAAACTTCTGCCTTTTCATCCATAAAGAACCAGCCAAAAGTTGTTGGAAGATCCAGGTTTATTGCAGCTTCAAAGAGCTTCCTCATGGCCGAGATCGGCCGATCCGCATGGTCAGGTGATGACAAGACAGTGACCACCTGGCTGGACGATGGGAACCATGGGTACCTGGCCGGATGAAACATCATAGACATGCAGACTCTTTGGGTGAAAACAGGGATCGTCCTCAGAATTTGCAGTGCTAAGTATACAAGATCCTTTTGGAGTAGAACATCTAGAAAGGAATATGGAAGGAGACTAGACTGCTCCGTATACCGCGCTATGTTGCAATATGTTTTGTCACATCCAAACTTGTGGGGTCCAGAACCACCGAACCACCCGATTCAGATGATTCTTGCAACTTCAGATGAGGAGTACTGCTCGAGCACTTGGAACCCCAAACCGGAGAGGCCCTTTGGACTTTATCACAAGCGGAAATGCCAAAAGGCATGGATTTAAGACCCTTTCGTGACTGGATCCTGGGCACCCTAGCCTCTAATAACTATGTTCTTCTTTTAACTTTGGAAGGGTTTTGTTCTTTGTGCACGCTTCATTGTTAAGTTGAACCAGTTTTCGGATCATGCACGCTTCCCTACCCCCAGTTCTGTGACAGTCGGCTGCGTAAACCCGGCCTTCCTGATGTTTGACCTTCCCTGGTCCGTCCGGCCACGTGAACGTGGCCGTCGTCGCCGCCCAGGAGCAGTTGGCAGATCCACGAGACACTGAGCCACCAGAAGAAGTTGACCCGCGCCATCTTCGACCGCACCGGCCTTGGCAGTCCCTGAATGGGATGTCGGTTTGGACTCCGGTGGAAGGGAAGAACACAGGGAGCCACGAGGTGGGAGAAGTGATGAAGGTTGTGAATGCATGGTATTTGGAGTGGGTCCATGTGCGTCCCATCACCTGGAAGAGTCGTTTCCTTTTTGCATTTGAATATTTGAGCTTAGCAGCTAACCATCATCATGCACTGCTGCTGGCAGACCTTGGGATATAATATGCATGAATCTACGCTGTCATGCGAAGCATTGAGTCATGATTTAGTCAATGAGTCAAAGTGAACAAAAGTCCTAGAGGTCATGCCAACAGGACCACTTCATGGGAGAGCGACATAGGTCGATCGCTGTCCCGATGCCACGCCTGAAGACCGTCTCGATCCGAAGAACTGAGGCAAGGGTCGCATCATTTTGGCCGACCGCTTTGGCGACGTGTGTCGTTGGACGCCCTCCAGCGACCAAGAGCCAGAGATGCTGTCTAGCCACTTTGCCATCGCCCCTTGGAGGAAATATGAGGGCATACACCCTGAAGTCCAGGTACAAAAGAGGTTTCGAATGGTTTGGAGATCCCAGGTGTCGGCGAGTTTTCACGCATGACCAGGGTCAACATGGTGAGGGGCCATTCGACTAGCCAGGTTCACGGGGCTTGGCCATCGCATGCGGCACCGTGACCGGCAGGTCACTGCTTTGGTCTTGACGCCCTCCCAACGCTTCTTGGTCGTTGGAGATAACCATGAGCGCCTACGGATCAGCCACTACCCTGAGGCGACGGGGATCCCCTGGGACCTTGTGCAGATGGCTGCATCGTCGATGGGTGCTCTGGGACCTTCTGAGACGGTGCTTTGGTGCTTTGGATTGGACCTGATTTGATGCACATCTTTGCGGGGCTGTAGGGGTAAACTTGGAAATCTTGCCAGGAGGTCTCAGAGGCACGTGGAGGCGGAAGATCCTAAGAGGATCCATGGAGGACCCCAAGATACCCTGAATCAAAGACCTGAACCCGGATGCTTTTGGCTTCTGAATCCCTGCATTTTTCCCGCTACGGCTCCAGAAACGGTGCCTGGACGGTTCAGGCCTTTCTCCCGGGGCTCCACACCCCCACATTCTCAGAAGGTAGGAGCAGGCCCAAGGCACCCACCCCTGGCCCACCTTGTTGTCCTTGGAGTCTTTAGGCACGCTTAAATACTTTTTATGTGTTTAATTACGTTACCTTTATTTGTTATATGTTTTCCTGGTTCTTCAAATTGACCTTTTGATATCGCAGTTTGAGGTCACTTGGGCCTGTAAAAGGTCACTTAGGCACTCCAAAGAGGCACTTTGAAGAAGCTGGTTTATATACATGTTGTTACTGATGTTGTTGTTTTGTTTGTTTTGTTTTACTTAAATCAAGATGTTCTGATTCGATCTGAAGTTTGACAGTTCTGCTCACTGCCCGCCCTCGCAATGGCCCTCGCTGCCCCCCCCCCGGTGCATTGATCCGGTCAGCTCGCAGCGACTCGCAGGTCGCGGAGATCCGGAGCTTTTGCTTGGGGCACTTGATGCAAATCACCGCTGCTGGGCACGTGGTGGGTGTTGGGGTGGATGGTTAGTTGTCAACTTACATCATCAATTGCCAGGTCGATGATTCAACCCGACCTTGTCAAAAGAGCAGAGTGGATGTGTTTATATGTGTTTCGACCAAAAGAGGGAGAAGGGTGGAAAGGACACGCGTTTGTTCGAGAAGGGTGCCTGGGAGTTCAAGACCCGGTACGGAGCTGTATATTGCAAACCCTTAGGCCTTAGGCTTTGTTAAGTTCCATTAAGTGGAGTGCTACATTAGTTAGGGTTGGGGTGTTACCGATCCAGAGCTGCCTGGCACGTGGAGTGCTACATTCGTTGGGTACTCCGGGTTTAGGGAAGCAAGGTGGCCCCAGTACACGCATTTTAGGATCAAGTAAGAAGAGCACTCGGCCCACACAATCAGCCCAGTCCTCCCAAGAAGGTTGAACTTTATGTTTTCTTACATTCGGCTCGCTCCTTTTCTCGCTTGCAAAGTTCGATATCACCCACAGGTTAACTGAAATCCCGTGGTCTTGCGAGCTTTTCCACATGTGGAAATCCAATGAAATCCGCGCATCCTTGTTGGTCACTGAATCTGGCGATGCGCCACTGGGGCCCGTAGGCGCAAGCTGGACTAAGAATGTCTGGCTTCCAAGCCCGAGCAATACCTGACCAGACTGGTTTGTGAGGCTTTCCAAGTTGACAAGCCTAGACAGCAAGCTACAAAACGACAGCAGACAGTTGACAAAACTCATACAAACGACCAAGCCCTATAGCTGACTTGACGCGCGCCCTATTTGAGCTTTCAGTTGACTTTTGAACGTCCTGGACCAGCCCAAACACAGTGACGTCGACTCTTGATGAAGAACACCACCCCCCAATTTGGATGGTAAGACCTTGACCCGTATGGGCCATACTTATGGCCGTAATTGGTTGGCTTGAGACATATTGAAAAGAAGAAGAAGAAGAAGAAACCGATGAAAGCAAAGAAAACTGTTCGAACGCTGGTCCTGGACGTTGGTGGCGCTTTAGCGACCGTTTCGCCCTCCGCGACAGCGGTCCCTCCGCGACACCGTCGGAGGCTGTCTCGGTGACGGAGACGGAGAGCATCCTATCGGTGCCATGGGAGTCGGCTGGGAGGTTCTCAAGCCGGATCCACAGACCGAACCTGAGGTACGGTGAGCAGGGAGACTATTTATATCTATTAAATGTAGGCGCCAGGAAGGTCCAATGACCTTCGAAGGTGGCAGTGGATCCATATTAGGGAAGGTGATCCAACCGGCGCTGTGGGCCACGCCCCGATCCCTGCACCTGAAAAACGGGTCACCAAGTGTGTGCTTCGGGCCCTTCCCAACCCTCCAAAGGAGACCTGTCGATTTGCGTGCTGGTTTAGGTCGCATTCTTGGACCCTAACAAGACGGGGCTGAAGTGGAGCATTCGGGAATCAATTGATGTGTCCTTGTCCTTGTTGGCTTGGGTGATTGTGCTGTGCCGTGTGTAAGCATGTCAAATCCATGGGCCAGAATTGGTTGGAGTTTTTGATTCGGTGCATGCAGAAGACTGGGGACCCTTTGATACTAGTGAACTAAGTTTTAGTCTGGATCTTTTCCTTCTTTTGAAGGCTGCATTTTGAGGTCTTCGGGCCTGTTTGGGCTTCAATTCCCACTGGTCAGCCGCTTTTTCCAGTGGAACTGGCATGGCATGTTCTACCTACCTCAGCCATTCACCCAGCTTGCCATTCTCAGGCTTCGGCGGATGGCACGCTGCGGCTTTGGAGCCTGGAGGGTGACCAGCAGCAGAGCCCCGAACCTGGACGAACGGTCGAAGGGTCAAGAGTGGTCGGTGCGAGCGAAGCTGTCCATGTGATCAGCCTGTCCACCGGTGCGAGTTCACATGTGGACCCCAGAAAGACTAAGCGATCCAATAGACTCTGCAGTGGGGATTTGCTTTTCTATCCCTTTGGGGGTCTACAGTTACGGTGCTTTCAAGAGTAAATAGATTGCAAAAGATGGCTTTGGCACCCCAAGAGGTCTTTTTGGAAGTCCGTATCAATCCCCGAAAGGGGATTGTGATATCTACTCTGAAGCCACTGCAAAGCAGAGCTCAAACACGCGACTTGCGGTCAGTCCAAGGCACAGCTAGTTAGCGGGCTTAAATCATGTTCTAACGAAGTGATGGTGTAGCCACCAACGCTGTCCCTTGGAGGGTGACAAAACTCTTCAGGCATGTTCCGTTTGTGGCAAGTCCCTGCGAGGTTGGACCATGGGTGCTCCAATCAGCAGCTTGTGCTACCGCAAAGGGATTGCAGTCCTGGGGTCAGAGGCCAGCACAGATGCCAGTAAACTACAACGACTCTGAAACACAGTGGATGCTTTGAGAGACATTGAAACATGACGTATCATAACACTGCTGTTTTGCCCCTTTAGGCGTAGGTGTTTCCGCCCGGTTTGGGCTTGGGAGGTTCACGTTTCCCAGTAAGGGGCATCATGAGTGGCCTGAAGCAGCCCTTCCTGCTTGAAGCAGCGCTGAGCATGGTGGGCCAAGGAGCTCCAACGAGTCGTGGTTAGACCCCCCTGGCACCCACCCACCCCTGTCCCATCTTCGAAAACGGAGGTGGGCCAGGAGTTCTAGGGTATATAGCCACGTCGATGACCGGTATGAGGGGGGCAGGGTACATTTGCCAGGACAATCCCACTAGATCTGGCCACCACGAGGTCGTAAGCAACCAATGGTCCAAAGGCTAAAGCCATGGACCAAGAAACCCTGGTTCCTTAGCTTGTCGCAACTGGGATCTGGAGCCAGGTAGTTGCCACCCAACAAATTTGTGAAAAGAATCAGTGAGAAAGCATCACTACACCCTAGGAACATCGTGCCAGCTTCGCCTGTTCTTTCGAGTGCTTTCCGGATTTTCGCCCTCATCACAACGCTCCACTCGGATCGCAGGCGCCGCAGGCGCAACTCCTGCGACTTCCCTTGGACAACGCCCAGGCCGGTTCAGCCACACCGCTTGTGTTCACACTCGCACACTGGGCAAGAGCGTTCAAGTTCCGTGAGCCACACTGGTAGCTATTTGCTACTAGTAGTAGTAAGAATGCTACTAGTAGTAATGCCCTTTGCTCCTAGTAGCTTCTTGCGACTAGATCCCTACCCCCATCAATGCTCTGCAAATGGGAGGTCCTCCAGGAAATGTAACTTACATTTTAAGATAGGGGTGGGGCGGTCAAAAAAAATAAGTTACATTTAGGGAGGACCCTTAACTCACTCAATTCCTAAATGTAAGCTAAACCCCTCCTAGGATTTGCTGTCAGTGGCCTTCGGTTGTTCCTCAGGAATCACATATGCCATCACACGCCAGGAATTCCAGAGCATTTGGGGGGGGGAAGAGATACAGAGGAAAATCGTGGCATGCAGCGGGGGGCCTCCCAAATGTAAGGTTACATTTTTTGAAACATGTAAGTTAACTTATCGGCAAAATGTTGGCCTACATTTAGGAGGTAGTTTACAGCCAAAAATGGAACTTACATCTTCCAGAGGACCCCTCAAGAAGATGGTAAGGATGCTACTAATGGTAAGGCCAGGAGCTACTAGTAGCGTCCGAACGCTCCTAGTAGCGATGCCCTTTCTTCTTAACGATGCCCTTATAAGCTTAGTTATGTGTTGTTCACTCCCGAACATTCCAGGGTGAACGCGAAAATGAGAAGGGCACATTGAACGAGGGTTTTCCTCGGGTCCATGTGGTTTTCAGGGTCCATGTGGACCTCGTCAGCGGTCGGCAGGGTTTGCTCAATTGACTGGGTGTCTCGTCAGGTGTGAAGAAAGCGATATCGTGCGGTTTCTTGTACGGTTCATGGATGATGTAACCATGTAACGACATGGCATCCGAATAAAGACGGCATAGTGCTACAGCTTTTCGTGGGTTTTGCACGCATGGGTGGCTGGGTGGGTGCGACTTAGGTTTAAATCCAAACCTGCAAGGCAGGGACCCTAATTATAGAATATGATAGAATTACACCAGCATAGACCACTGTTATTTAAAGTGAGAACCCCATAGCACAGTCTGGGGAATTATATATAGAAAGAAAGCATCATGTTTTCCCGGTCGCAATGCTTTTTTAATGCTAGGGGAAGCATGGTTCCTTCAGAACTTCAGAACGCTTTCAGCGGATTTGGCCATCGGACATTCACCCCGATGTGAGTCGCAGGACATTCCTGCTTCGGTGGAGGTCCTTCTGTCCGAGGCCCTTCCCCCCCGGCTGACCAGTCGACCACGGCACGGACATGTTTGGGGCGGGGGAATTTCAGACAGCCTGGTGTGGGCGGTTTGCGTGTGAGGAGGTTCCCGGTTTGCTCAAATCCCCGGAATCCGGTGGAAGAGTGGAGTTGTTTTCATGTTTTCCGGCTTGATCAGGCTGTGATTGTTTTCCATAGGGGTGAGTAATTGTGAACTCCCTAAATGGGAGGTTTGTTTATAATTAAAGGTTTTCCCTAGCTCCTGGACAGAAACATCCAAGAAGAGATACACCCTAGTCAGACAGTGTCACATGATGTACGGACCAGCTCCTGATCACAAGAACTTGGAGGGCCAAGTTTGTAGAGGCAAAACAGGCTTGGGTTGGGCACAGATGTTCCAGCTTTGAGTAGAATTTTGACATTCGATTGGCACACCTGGTCGAAGACTATTCGGAAACTGTTGCCAATCCGCTCTGGACACGTGGGACCAAACTCGAAAGGCTATAGAAGCTTTGCTGGTATTGTCCGATATCTTCCGATCATCTAATCACAATCTAATCACACCACCTACAAACCATCACCCTCCATCAGGTCGCCACCTGCCGCCACTTTTAAGTCTCCAAAAGCCTGTGTTGGTTAAGCCACTTTGTTCGGACGTGATGTGCCCTTGAGCCGCGACCGAAGCGACTAGGTCGAAGCACTCTTTGGAGGCTCAAAGGCCTTTGAAGCGCCTCCCCCACAGCAGGGTCCCTGAATGAGACTTTGTTCTTCACATGGTTGTTCAACCTCAACCCATCTCAACCCCTTTGCAAGGTCTCAGCTGTTGTAGGGCTGGCTGGCTTGTAGATCAAGATCATTCAAGATCCTTGATGTGCTATACTGACGCCTGTAGTGCGAAACACATGAATACCTTGCCACCAGGCATGTGTCCATCATGTGTCCTTGCCCTTCACGGGGCAGTATGGAAGTGCCCTTCAAGCAGGATATGGCTTTTACCGCCTCAAGTGGTCACTTTGATTAAGAGAGGCTTCGATTCGAAGTCCCTGGTCATGCTCCTTGATAGTGTAGTACTTGTCAGAAGGCAATTTAGTACATGAACATGTCACCTTGAACACCTCACTATACTCCTATTATACTCCTACGTCCCCTCGCCATGGACTATGGACGTGCCCAAGCGACGAAAACGCCATGGCTGCACGTGCCCCAACGGCTGCGAGCCCTCGTGTCGCATCGGTGCTTCGGGTTGGAAGAGTTTCGATCGGTTCGCCCTGGATTTCGGTTACACCCGGGAAGAGGTCCATTAACCTGAAGCCCCAGTGCGAAAGCACGCGTCGACTGCGCAGCCATAGGGAAGGCAAATAGCCCTAGCTGGCATCGAAGGGCGAGAAAGGCCCGTTCTAAGGCAAGAGCACTGGTCAAAAGGTTCCAAAAGAACCCCTCTGGAAAGCTTGCAGAGAGAGCGCTCTTTGCACAGCGGCTGCTGGAACGGCACCACTCGAAGCCCCAGTATAGTATGCCATGGAAGAAGGACCGCGAATGGTACTGGGATCAGACTCAGTGGAATCCACAGCAGAAAAGACGACCAGAAAACAAAAATACGAAAGAGGGAAGGAGCTTTATGACAGGCTACGATGGAAGAAGAATCGACATCGAAGAGGGAGATGGCTTTTCTGGTCCCTCGTGGTCGGCATCCTCACAGGCATCCTCACAGGAGGCCAAGCTTCGAGAAGAGAATGCAAAGCTCAAAGCCCAGATGAAAAGCATTCTCACTCGACCTGGCGAGGCGCCCAAGATCTTGCCGGAAGTCATCGACCTTGTGAAGGACGACCCACGGGAACTGCTCAAAGCACGACAGAGAGAGCTAAATGCAGAGCGGAAGGCCTTGAACAAACTTTGCAAGGTCAAAGACGAGATGATGAAAAAAGAACAGCAATTCCAATCGTGGAAGCAGACGGTCAGTGGCAACATCCAAAAAGAAGAGAAGAGGCATACCGGCTTGATGGCCGAGATGCAGAGCGAGTTAAAGAGGCTCGAGAAAGGGGAGTTGGACGAGCCAGAGATGCTAGAGGTAGACTCCGACAGCGAGGAAGGCCTACAGCAAGAGACTCACATGCTCAAGAAGGAATTGAAGAAGGTCAAGGCACAGTTCCGGGAGTTCACGGAATACAGCACCCAGCTCGAAGTCCGCAACTCGCAGATGCTGGAAGCCATGCAGGCGCAGATGACACAGCTGATTGGGGCAGTCAGCGGAAATGTCCTCACTGGCAGCTTCCCGAATACTTCGCCCAAGCAGGAAGTGAAGCCCCCATTGACCATAGGGGCGCAGATCAAGAAGGAGCGCGAAGAGCTTACAGACGAGAAAAGAGGACGTTCAAGGACTCCGCCAAAAGACAAAAGTATGACAAAGGCGGAGATGCAATATCGCATCGAAGACTTGCAGCAGGAGATCCAGAAATATCCGGCTGCATGCCAGCAGAAGATCATGCAAGTGATCCAAGAAAGACCACAGGAATTTGCTACATGGCAAGCAGTCATCGACTTGTCCAAGCAAGTTATCGATGCGATGATGACGGAAGAGCCAACAGATGGTCTAGGGAAAGAAGAAGAAGGGACTATGGATGCTGCAGCGAAAGAACAGGGTGGGCCCCCTCTTCAGTTAGAGCATCCTTGTCAGCCTTTTCGCAGATTTGCTGCAAAGTCGAAATCGGAGCCTTATGCCACTCCCAAGAACGACAGGGAGCAGGCGAATCGCACACCGGATGGTGGCAGGTGCAAGCGCATGGATATCATGTCATGACCTTGCAGACGATGATCAGCAGAAGGGATTGCGCCAACTTTCAAGGCAGCTCCTTTCATTCAGAACCTTTTGCCTTTTGGTTTTGTTCTGTTACACCTAGAGTCCTGCCCAATGATGGTCTAACCAACTGTGTGGTAGGCATACCGCCTGTTTTAAATCAGGCTTCTGAACTTCTTTTTCCCCTTGTTAGAAGGGGATCGTATGGGGCTGGTCAGCAAGTACAGCGACTGACCAGAGACGCTCGCGCTCCGGAGAGCTATGCAGCGGTCTTTGATTTAGGGGAAAAGACCAATGTGGAATGCTCTGGGCGACATCGAGGTGAAGATTGTGTCAGAAGTGGTCATGATCCTTCCTGGTACCGTGATATTTTCCAACGCTTCTGGACAGGTATTTTCCTCCTTATCATTTCGTGTATTTGGGTTGGGTGCTTTTCTGGAGTCCTCGGAGAAGTAGCCAGTCTATCCTCCAATTTGCGGTCATCTATGCTGCAGAAAAAGCAAGTTTATTTTTGGCCCGGTGTCAATGGCTATTTTGCCTACATTATATTACAGTTCATCGTGATAAGCTGTAATGGGATAATGCTGGAATTGGCTGAAGAGGACGCCGAAGGCTATGCTCGATTCGGAGGTGTGCAGATCCTTCAGAGAGCCTTTTACCTCAATCTGGGAATCCTAGGACTTGGAATCCTAGGTGTCCTTGGACGCAGACGGGAGGAGACGATGCTGCCGTCCATGTCTCTCGGCAAAGCACGAGTGATCGGATGTTGTCGCTGTCGACCTCCAAAGAAGAAGTCTAGAAAGACCTGTTATGACGCTATGGTCCTGATCTTGCTCATCGGTGGGGCCGAATGTGTCCATGTGACTACACAAATGGGCTGGTGGGTAGACAGCAATCGACTACCTATGGATGCCCAGGTTGACAGGTCAGGTTCCCTATGGCCTTATGGGGATCAGTCTAATGAAATGGCAATCCAAGACCTGCCACAAGGCCTCCGAAGCGAAGCTGGTCGATCTCAATTTTGTGTTGTGGAAATCACAAGGTTTTCCGCTGATGACAACCCTTGTCAGAGTAGATCCCATCCTTTGCTTTGTGCACAGGTCGGCAACCATACCGATCCTGATGCTGTGCATGCCACTTGCCCACGTTTTGTGAGAAATTGCGATCACAGTCTCGTCTTTCTCGATAGTGGGGATACAACTAAATTTCGAATCTACGAAGAGGAGTATGCTCTGAGCTTGATGCAAAAGAGTGCCCAGATGGGCCTTTTCGCATTACAAGCAAACCAGTCTCGTCATGTTGAAAGTGATGGAGCAAAGTGTCGAATTGCGCAAACTTGGTTTGCTGGGGAAGAGGTCTGCGGCTCTATGCCACGCATGATCTATCTCCAGAAAGATGGAATGCAAGAACTCCAGCGGCCTCTCAACATGCTCTGGCAGGAGTATTGCAGCGATGGGGCCTGTGAATTTACGATAGTCCGTCCAGACGAAACTCTCGCCGATTTTGCGCTTTCGATTCCTCATTTCATTGTGTTCCATTCATCGCTAATTGGAGCACGCCCTTTCTTTGTTGTTAAGAGGTTACTGGTTGACCAAAGGCTTGTGGTACATGAGGAGGTGTATTCGTATCATGCCTGCATGCTGTCGACGAGGAACTTGCTTCTTGCAATTCGAAAGAAAGGAATCATTCATGCCCAAGAGAGTGTAGGAACCTTAGACAGGCCAATTCGAGCAAGGTCTTGGCTTAATGGAGAAATACTTATTCTTAGAGTGCAACGAACCAAAGCTCAGGATCCTTCAGCTACCACCGAAGGTCTGTTCGTTCATGAAGATGAAAGTATACTCATGCAGAGACCTTCAACGCCAAGCGTTGAAATCGCGCTGCAATACGTTCATGACATGATGGGACAGACAATGCAGTCAGTAGGGGTGTGGCTCCACACATGGGATAGGAGAGACAGTTGGGCTTTTGTCTTTCGCTATTGCCAGGTGTCGCTCAATCGACCTGTTCGACAGCAGATTCTTGCCCAATGGAGAGATCACCAGGTCAGAGCACAAGCTGAACTGGTACCTGTACGAACCCGAGAGTACGGGCCGACTTTCCTGGTTCTCACAGTCTGCCCGGAAGAGTGGATTGGGGTATTGGCGAGAGTTGATCTTCTGCATCAGCAATGGGTAGGCACGATCATGCTTCGAGCCATTCGTTTCCCATTTGTCCATGAGCTTTTTCAATCAAAGCTGCCAACGGTGCCGTGCATCTGGTATACAGAATGTCATGTCGTCAGTGAAGGTCGTCGCTATGGCTGGGAACAGCAAATACCGGTCTCCTCTGGTATGACGCTGACATTTGTGGAGAGAGATTTCCCGCAAGGGATCTACCAGCCTCAGCAACAGCTGGATGTGAATGGGACCAGTGTAGGCACAAATGAGGACCTATATACGACTTCATCAAACACCACGACCAATCTTTCTGAAGCAGCAGGACCAGCAGCAAGCTTAAGTGCTTCACAGCCAAGAGGCAACGGAGAAAACACTGCAACTCCGGATCAGGATGACGGTGATGACTCCTGTTTTCTCACGACACACGAAGTACAGGACACTGCGAGCTATACCTCACCAGGGCGCGGAGGATACACTGCAACCTCTGAGGCCCTGATGACTAAAGGAATAGATACTGAAGGTGGAAGCACTTGTTTTGCTGAGCAGACGAAGTCTATTGTTCCTGAACTTATAGGTGAATCGGAGGTTACAATGCTCATGCAACGGACTGCACCGACGCCTTTTGTTCCGTTTGCAGTGGCTGCAGAACGTGGCCTTCCATACCTCAGGACCTTTAGATTGACAAGAAGAGAGCTCACGAGAACCTGGTATCAAGATGCAGTTGATACAGCATTCGAATTCTTCCGATCGCCAGAAAGAGGAATCTGGGAGAAGAGAATTATAGGATGGTGCTTCAGCCGTATTGACCAGTTCCAAGGAGAGTCCTTTACTATCCAGCTACGTCAGAGAGGGCTCTGGGCGACACAGCTCATTGATCCTTTTGAAGATGCTGGGATGACGGAAGTCAACTTCATCACAGTTCTTCCTCAACCAACTATGTTGCATGGAGATGGACTCAGTAGAAACCATCATGATGTGGTAGTGATGGCCTTCTCAGATGAGACTTTCGCCAGCGACAGCTTGCCACTTGTAGTCGAGCATGAGCTTAGCGGCATACTGGTGACTTTGGCGATTCAGTGTCCTCCGGGATGTACGCCGAATGTGATCTGCGAGCTACTCGGTTACATGACTCAATGCGAGCCACCCAATATAGGGACTGTGTATTTCCGTTACGGAGACATTGAAAGGATTTTCCAAGGTCTCGAAAGAATTGGCTTACCAGCTGGAGCCCACGTTCGATTGAGTAGTAGGAAGGATGAAAGCTCTTGTGGGACAAGCCTGCCCTGGCAGCGCCCCCTACGTGAGCATGAAACGCTGATCACACCTGATGATGCATCTGTGTCTAGGATTCAAGAAAGCGAGCATTTTTTGAACCATGGTGATGATGATCTACAAGCACTAATGCAGCTCCCTTGGGAAAGAGAGTTTGAGGCGGAGGACAACCTCATTTCGGAGATGGTTGCCAGGCAGAGACCTTTCGCGTCCTTTTTCCCAAGTGGACGAATCATCGAGCTGCTTCCGATCAGCCAAGAGATTGCAAATAGACAAGATGTGGTCCATGACTATCTGGAGCAGCTCACAGACCTACCACAAGAAGGCGTATTTACAATCCATGTTTGGGGGGTTCGCTTTGCAGTTGCAACTTTTGCAAGGGTATCGGCCCTCCAACGCGGTAGATCCTTCACTGAATCGGTTCTGCGTGAATGGAATGATATGGATGAACCGCATTTGTTCTGGCTTCTGCTCATAGAGCCGACTATGATGCCACTGACTTTCCGTCGGTACCCCGTTGACCTGGTATTGTTGACTGACAGACAGAAGGCAAACCAAGAACGCGTATATCTGGTTGACGTGTTGTTCACAACTCTCCCAAGACGGGTAGCAGTCATATATCGGGCTGGGGAGACGCTCAGGCACCTGGTGCACAAGCTGGGACTTGACACTTTCTGTCAAAAGCGGGGACGATTGTACATTGATACGAGAACGAATGGGGACAGTTGAGCATTGGCATCTGGAGGACATGATCGAACAAGATCATGGAACTTTCTTCATGCTTGAGTTCCGTGTCAGCCAAGAAGACCAGATCTGTAAGCCGGCAGGACAGCAAGAGATACAAACCAGTGTGCCAGAGGCAGGACACTCCGATACTCCTCTCTGGGGCAGTGAAGCAGATGCCAGCAGTATGATGCAGCGGCACATCAGTGGACAAGCGCGGTCACCGTTCCACCGGTATATGCGACAGTTTGCTGTGAGAACTACCACTGTGTCGATATGGGTGCATGACCTAGAGTCCCCTATTGTCCAGCTTTTCCAGAGTATTTGTGAGCTGAGTCTGCTACAAGAGGCAAGGCAGCAATGCGAGCAGTATTGGACTGAGAGAGGCATGCCTGCTGAAAGCCGAGTCACGGTGGTTGAACCGGCACCGGTTTTTATTGCGCTTCCACGACCGCATGTGATTGTTAGTCATCCAACCAATAGTGACACGCCTATACTCTGCCAGGTGGTGGAAGAAGGTAGAATGAACCTCTTATCCATCTTGCTGCCGCAGCGTTTCCCTCCTACTAGTGTAGCTTTTCTCTTCGAACTGGCCAGTCCACAGAACGAGTGCGAGGATGGTGCGGAGTGCTATTTATATCATGAACGACGGCGCTTTGACTACCACCATGATATTGTTCTGCAAGAAGGTGCCTTTGTCCGCATATATGAATGGAGATATCGAGATGCAGGGTCAGCCACCACCAGTTGTGGCAGTGGCAGCGATGACTCCTTTGACTTGACATGGACACCAGAATATCACCGCATGGCTGAAGAGGGAGCTAGAGCCGACGAAGGAGAAAACACTGCAACTCCTATAGGGCGGGCCCAATTGCAGCCCCACCTGACAGATGCACCAACGGAGGAGAACACTGCAACCTCTGTCAATGCACCTATACGACGAGACAGATGGAGGAGGACAAGACCTGGAGGTGCGGCTTTATATGACCATGAAGAAGCAGGTCTTTTCCAACAGCAAGTGACGATCCGTCCAAGCTGGCGAATTGCAGACATTGCGGAAGAGGTGGAACAAGCAGACGAAGCAGATGAACAAAACGAACGTGAATGGAGAGAACAGATGGACAGGATACTGAGGGCCACAGAGCTCTTCAATTATGATTTTTTGGAAGCTGAAGCTCTCGGTTTTTATAGGGCCCGAGGACACTGGCCATTATTTCGACTGTTTGGGGCTGGCATTCGGCTCAGAAACAATATCCTCGCGCTAGATGCTAGAGACCAACTTAGCCAAGATGGTTTCATTATTGGTCTTCGCCTGCAAATTGCAGAAACGGTTGCGGAGGAGGCAGTGATGAAAATTTCTGTTGTTCGACCCATTCCAACAGTTTTTGAGCAGATAGGTAATGATGATGTGTGTTTGGTTCTTACCAGCCGGCCACAAGTCGACAAAGTACTTGTCCTGGTTGTCGGCATAGGCATAAACCAATATGTCTCGCCGCACATGGCGGGTTTCCAGATACCGAAGCAACTCACTACAGACCAGCTGCTCAGAATTTCCAAGCTGTATGACCTCTGCTACTCGGCAGATCTCAGATGTCTGGTGCAATACGAAGGCCGCGAATTACCTAGATTGGTTAGATGGGCGGCCTTCGAAGGCATGAAGATTAATGTGGAAGTAGTCGCACGTACTTGCACATTCGATACCCTGAGGAGGATGCGATCTCAAAGTGTGAATCTTCTACAGTCTCAGTTGCGTCTGATGAGATCATGGCATGCAAGTCCGACCAGAGGCCTCCCCCCGCCAGGGAATCCAGTCCAAGATGTTTCCTGGGAAAACATAGACCTTGAGAAAATGGATGATCTGATTTGGAATGATGGCAAATTCATTGTTACCGATTTCCCACGGACAAGTTTTTTACTCTATGCTGGATTAGTGCACTGGTTGAAGCCTCAGACTAAGCAAGTCATACAGATAGCCGACTGTCTGCCAGAACTGCCGATTGACCTCCCTGACTTTTCCAGGCTGGCTGCACAGCTGAAGACGCCCAAATCCAAAGTCAGGATTAGTTGGGCCTCCATCCTGTGCAGAATGTCGTCTGAATTGCAGGAACAGGCATCCCGTCTCGTGCTCGATGAACCTAGTGCCCTAGAGTACATAGAGATATATACTGACGGATCTTATAGGTCTGATTCGGAAGCCTTTCTTGCGGGCTGGGCATTTGTTGTACTCGGATACCAAGGTGACATGATTTACGTGGTTGATCAAGATTGGGGTCTAGTCCAGACAGACCCAATGGAGCCTGATTGGACAGGACCGGACCAGTCCAATGCAAAAAGCGCTGAGATAGCGGCAATGCTTCGAGCGGTGGAATGGATGTTTTCGGCACCATACCAGTGTCCCAGAGCCTTCTGTTTTGACTCCCAACTGGCAGGATATTCAAGTGCGGGGATTTTCTCGATTCGGCCTGATGATCGCCAGCTAAGGATCCTTCGTGCTATGAGCTGTGCCCTTGAGACCGCTGTCCCGCACTGCGCGCACTCCTGGCGGCATGTTAAGGGACATTCTGAGGTGCTGGGAAACGAATTAGCTGATGCCATGGCAAAAGAGGCTTTTGAGACACAGGCGCCTCTGCGAGTGTTTCAGCGTCCAGACTACACACCTTTTGTCTCCGGCCGGCGATATGCTATCGAAACGCTCTGGCTCTTTTATGCCAAAACAGAACAGGGATGCCGTCTGGTGAGAGACTGCCGCTTGTACCTCCCGAAAATAAATATTGGAGGGACCCTTGAAGAGCGACTCCCATCAGAGATGGTGTCTGAACGACCAACTGATCCAGTTCGTAAAGCTCTACACCTTAGGTTTGCCACATACAACGTCCAAACCCTTGGGCCCAAGACGGGCAGCATACTAGTACAATACATGAGAGAACAAACACGAGCGCACGGGATTGATGTCTTCTTTTTGCAAGAAACGCGCTCCAGGAAAGACATGCTTTACTGCTCAGAGACACATTTCCGGTTTTCTGCGGCAGCAGCAAATGGGGTAGGAGGAGTGGAGATCTGGCTCGCGCGAGCTCATGACTGCAGACGACACCTTGCTTTCAGGAAAGAAGATACGCATGTGCTGATTGCGACCCAACAGATCATGCTTCTCAAAACTGAATGCCGAGGAGGACAGATGCTCTTGCTCACTTTCCATGCCCCGCACAGTGGCAAAACGGAGAAAGAAATACAATGTTTTTGGTCTGGACTCGAAGACATGATCCACCCTTTTTACAGCCAATTGCCGACATTGATTGTGGGTGTGGATGCCAATGCTCATTTTGGAGAAGAGCATGAACCTCTTATCAGTACTGCTGGGTTAGAAAGTAGAACTGATGCCGGAGGTAGATGCTTTCTTCATTTCCTCGAACGTTTTGGCCTTTTTGTCCCGTCGACATTCGAGCATATACATGAAGGCTCGCATGACACGTGGTTTAGCAATGCGAACGGTCAAGGGTCACGATGTGATTATATCTGTCTTCCGATGTCGTGGAAGAACGGAGCTCTCCGTTCATGGGTCCTGGACACCATAGATGAAGGCAAAGAATCTGTTGATCACTGCCCGCTTGCGCTGGACGCGAAAGTCATCCTCACGACGGACCGTCCAGCGGTGCGACGAGTGAGCTATGATAGGAAAGGACTCCAAAAAGCAAGCATGGAAGAATTGGAGGCTACTATGTCGACAATTCGGATCCCAGCCTGGGACCTGCCAATTGACCAGCATGCATGCAGGCTAGGACAGCAGATTGTCTCGAGACTCTGTGAGGCCTACCCTCAGACCAATAATAGGCCAAGGCGGTCGTATATCGGCGAGCAATCATGGAGCCTTCGCTCGGACCGACTACAAGCACGACGCACGACCAAACGACTAAAAAGCCTACTGTCGCAAGCTACCCTAAGGGTAATGTTTGCTGCAATATGGCATAGAACCAATGATCGAGCGACTTGTCACCTAGTTGTGCAGGTGTTCTCGACCATGAGCAAAGTGATTAAATCCCAACGCACTTCGGCGATGCTGACTCGAAGCCTCATTCGCAGTTTGCGGAATGATCGAACAAGATCACTTGAGGACCTTGCACGTCAAGAAGCCAAGCTTACTCCTAAGGAGTTTGCTGATGCGCTGAAAGCACTGGGTGTCAGAAATTCCAAGAAACCAGGCTTTGCTCAGCAGCTACCTATGATACAGAATTCTTCAGGAGCCATCATCGATACGACTGAGGAGCTGCAAAGATGCTGGCGAGAATATTTCAGTGAACAAGAAGATGGAATCCCGGTCACAGCAGCCGAGCTACTCCGTCAGTCTGATGATCGCTGGCTCACGCAAACGACAAAGCCAACTCTGGATTTATTACCAACATTATACCAAATTGAGCAACAATTCCGAAAGACTTCCCCGGGCAAGGCGATGTTTATTGACCAGGTCCCAGGCGAGCTTCTGCATAGACTTCCAAGAAGAATGGCGCAGATATACTTCTCCTTGTTCTGCAAACAAGCTGCTTTTGTACAGGAAGCCAATATCTTTAAAGGAGGCTTCCTTGTCCCGGCCTACAAAAAAGGCAACCCCAAGCTGATACAGAACTTCAGGTCTCTCTATATCAGCAGTACAGTGGGTAAGTCGTTCCATGCACTCTACAGAGGAGATCTGGTCGAGTACTTCGATGCCCAGAGGCTCGACCTGCAAGTCGGGGGAGTGCCGGGCCAGGGCCTGACACAGCCGGTCCAGTCGCTGCGACTAATGCAGATGCAGGCGATCCGAGCTGGTCGTTCGTATGCAATTCTCTTCGTAGACGTGGCGAATGCATTCTACCGGCTCCTCAGACAACATATAGTGGCAGTACAAGGAGAAAGAAGGGATGTGCGCACTCTTTTTGATCGGCTAGAACTCCCACCAGACAGCTATGCTGAATTCCAAACGATGCTCAGTCAACCACCGGCAATTGAAGCGTCTGGGGCGCCTGAGCACCTACGCCAATTGTTCTCTGAGTTTTACGAGTCTACCTGGTTCCAGCTCAAGCACGACCAGCATCTGATTCAGACCCGTCGGGGTAGCAGGCCGGGTGACACATTTGCTGACCTTTGCTTCAGCTTTGCATTGATTAAGATCGTGCAAGTTGCTGTTGATCGCATCGTCGAACGCTACCCGGCTCTACGGATCAGTTGGAACGGGCTGGATAGCCCGATACCGGGAGGCATACAATACCACAAGCTTGATGCCCTGATGCCAATATGGGCTGATGACCTGGCGCTAGCCTTTGATGCGGATTCAGCAGAGGAATTAATTGACATGAGCCGCGAGGTAGTCAGCATAATTTTCCATCGTCTTCGAGCGGCTGGACTACGACCAAACTTGCAGACAGGGAAAAGTGAGCTGCTGATCGACGTTCGTGGTGCGGGAGCTTTAGAAATACGCCGGGAAATGCTGCGACAGAATTATAGCTTGCAGATTACTGGCGGCGAGGCTCCTGAGACAATTCAGATGGTGGGCTCCTATAAGCACTTGGGGACATGGATACAAGCTGGAGGAGGGGTTGCCAAAGATGTAGGAGTCAAGTTTGGAATTGCACATGACACTATGACAAAATACAAATCGCAAATTTTTGCGAACCGTGCTATGGCCCTATGTCGAAAGAGACAGTTCTTCGACAGCTTGATCATGAGTGCTCTGCTCTACAACACGGCTGTCTGGGTGCCCCGTAATAAGCGCCAGACCATGCAAATTGAAGCAGGGTTTACCAAGCTTTACAAGCGATTGGCCCTTTACCATTGGGGAAAACAAGCCTTGACATGGAGTAGCCACTGGACACTCTACAAGATGCGGCTCCCGAGTTCTACGACTGTCCTGACAGTAGCGAGACTCCGCTATTTAGGGCAACTTGTCCGGACAGGGCAACCGATCCTATGGGCTCTTCTGCAAAGAGATGGCGAGTGGCACGATCGAACCAACCAAGATCTTGCATATCTCATGGAGTATTGCCCGGAGGCAGATCTCCCACTGCCGATACAGCAGCATTGGGACGTGCTACATGACTTGCTGGTCAAGAGCCCTGGATATTGGCGACGGTTGATGAGGACTTTGGTGGCAAGAAGTATCTCAGTTCAGACAATTGATGCTGAATGGAAGCACTGGCATCAAGAGATCCGGACAGAATTGATTGCTGCTAAATGTGTTAGTATGCCGACAGCCAGCCAGACCAGCAATACACACTACTGCCTTCAATGTACAAGGGTTTTCTCCAAACGTTCTTTTCTTGCTGTACACGCCTTTAAGGTCCATGGCAAAGCCAATCGGGCACGTGCTTTCGTCACAGGACGACAATGTGAAGCATGTCTCAAGATCTATGAGCTGCATTCGGATGCACTGAACCATGTCAAGCGTAGTGAGCATTGCTATGCCTTCTACCAACAAAGGGGTGTCACAGTGTTGAGAGAGCCAGGAGTAAACAGTAGACATGAGAAGCATAGTAAACATGCACTCCGACAACCCTTTCAGCAGGCGGAAGGACCCCGCCAACGCCCTATCCGGATACAAGTTCCAGAGGAAGGTCCACGTGAAACTCTTAAAGAAGAATGGACAAGAGCATGGCAGATGAGATCCGATGCACAAGATGGTCTGGATAGAGTTCGACGGGCCACTTTGTGCACTTGGCTCTACCATGAAGAAATCTTGGCCACCTATGATGAATGGTTAAAGGGGATGTCGCAAAACGAAGAGATGACCCTGGATGACCTAAGCTGGCTAGGCCGTTTTCCCCTTCGAGCCTCGATCGATTGGTTCATTTCAGGCCAGTTGAAGGAGACAGTCCCTGATGAGGAGTTTGAAGCCTTCTTTCAGCGACAGGCCTGGCTCATGACAGCGATCAAGATGCCCGGGCCATCAGAGGTCACATATCACCCAAAAGTCTTTGCACATTTGTTTTCGGGTGCTCGGCGGGAGGGTGATTTCCAACAATTTGTCGAACTGCTAGATGGAATGGCCATCTCGGTGGATGTGATTTTCGATCTTGATAAAGGTAATCTGCTCAAATATGAGACTTTTCAACTCTTCGCGCGAGCGTTGCGAGAGCGTGTGCTCCACGGATGCCTAGCAGGGCCTCCCTGCGAAACCTGGTCGCGAGCCAGGGATGTAGGCACCGGTGGACCAAGAGTGCTCAGGAGCAGACAACGACTCCAAGGCCACAAGTTTCTAAACTGCCGTGAAGCCGCCCAAGTGTCGCTAGGAAACAGTCTTTTAGGAGTTACGCTCCGACTTTTCCTGATAGCACTTATTTCAGGAGCCACCTCACTGATTGAACATCCTGCATCACCAGACGATGCACCCCATCTGCCGTCCATTTGGTATTTGCCGGTCATCCACCTTTTTCGTCGATTCGAGAACTGTGAGTTGATTCGAATCCAACAAGGACGCTATGGGGGGAAGGCCCCGAAGCCGACAGACCTCCTAGTCGCCAACGGTGGCCCGCGAGTGAACGACTTTTTTGTCAGCCGAAGAACAACACCGCTGCCACAGGGAGGGTGGATAGGGAAAGACCAAGCAGGCAAATGGAAGACCACTACGCTCAAGGAATACCCGCCTGACTTGTGTAGAATCCTGGCCTCCCTTATGAGCGAGTCCCAGCCGCATGCGGAGTTCCTAGAAGAGCAGCCAAAATGGTTCATGGAAGCGGTGGCCTTGCTGACTGCAAAGTACGACGCAAATGCCACTATGGGACCGGACTACTGTGCGGCGGCGGCTTTTGCACATAATTCGGAATTAAATCCCTGCAAAGTCACAGGCGAATCGCCCTCGGCTTGAATGAAAGAAAGTTGTACCGGACATGTGCAAGGGATTGGCCGTTGTGTGTGTGTGTGGCACCTGCCAAACTTCCTCACCCACGGGACTTCTAAACGCAAGATTGGCTTTGTTAGCATGAGTATGCATGAGTGGCCGAGTTGGCCCCGATAGAACTCGTGACTCCAATTCCAGGACTCCAAGGGGGTGGATTGTGTTGCCAAAGGCTTGGGGAATTGAGCAAGGGAAGGATCCCTTCGCCGGGAGCCCTTCTGAACCGTCCAAAACGTTTGAGGATGGCAGCCCTTGCCACGCCTGACGCACGTGGACCGGGAGATCTTTCATCACTTTGCCACCGCGCGGAGGCACGCGCCACGCGCGAGCTTGCTGTGCCGAGCCTTGAACTAGTGAGGCACTTGGCTACTAGTAGCATCCGAACGCTACGTAATGCCAGGAGCTATACTAGTAGCTTCTTGTTTCTAGTGAGGCAACAATCATTTCTTCCAGGGCCCCCCTGGAGGACCTCAGTCGGGGCTATCATTGCCATCCCCAAAAAGAAGGGGGCCCTCGAAGATGTCTTCAGCCTCGAGTCCGTTCCGGTCTGGACCCGAATGGCGGCCTTCCCGGAAGGGCGAACAGACCGCATCCTGGTAGGAACAGACCCCCCAAAACCACCAAACCTCCACCAAACCACCCAAACCTTTTCAGCCCATTTGGGCTTCATCAATGTTGCTCCCAGATGGTCCACCCCACATCAACTAATCCATGCCACATGTGGCATCGTTGTTGGCTTCGTGCCCCCAGGGCCATTGGTGGGTTTGGCTCGGGAATCCACCTAGATCCTGCTTGGTGTTCATCAAATTGTCTCAACTCTTAGGTCTTCTTTAGGAGCATATACAACTTTTTCATGTTGTAGATTGCAGTGTCTCTCCATTCACGCAGCATTTGATGGTTCCTTATTCATGCTTAATGATTGGTTCGATCGTTACATATCTGTCCAACTGAGGAGCAGAAATGGTTTGCATCCTCTCCTCGGGTTCAACAGTGAAGTCCAGAAGGTCCTTGCGGTAGCTGGCCACGAAACCGTGCCACCATTGGGGATCACTAGAAGATACTCGAAGTCTAGTCCGAAAGCTCCCAATTTCACTTAAGAATCTTGCTTGAAAGATCGCGATGTGGGTGTGGATGTTGAGCAATGTGGGTTTGCATCCGGATGCATGATACGTATGATAATGAGGATCGAGCTTTGTTGGGTTGGTGGTCCCAGAGAAAGATGATGAAAGATGACACCTTTGATTTAAGGAACCAAGTATGTTCTACCCATCCTACAGTGAGAATACCTCCGTGTTGCTTTGACTAGCAACGAGGTCATGCATTGTGTGTTTGGTTTTGAAAACCGGGCGGACAAGTCTTTTGAAGCTTCTGAACTGAATCCTGTTTCCTTGCAGTGCTTGTCCAACTTCTCTCCTGCCAAACTAACGAAGCAAGTGATGGCGCTGAACATCTCGGTGCAGCAAATGAGCAACTCGATTTGCATTGGTTTGTGTCATGATGTGTTCAGTTTGTTGCATGCAGCCATAGGCCACCATTATCACCTCTTCTTGTAAATCTGTTTGAAAGATTGGTTCAAAGGCAGATCTTTGCCCTCCCAATCTTCAGAACCTTGTTTTCCAGCTCACCAGAGTTGCTACCAGGTGGGGCAGTTGCGACGATGGAAGCTTCTCCTGACATGACCATCGGCGATTTCAAGCGGCAGCTCCAGGAGCTTCAGGAAGATGAGTCGATGAAAGAGGTGACCATCGTTGAAGTGCTGATGGGTGAAAGAAAGCTTACGGACGACGAGGAGACCCTGATGCAAGCAGGGTTCTCTCAAGATGTGGTCTTGCAAGTCGTATTCACTGCCGCCAGGCGTTGTGCAGTGTGCTTTTGCACCATTGCCCTACATGACCTCAAAACATCTCAAAACTCTTGGGTCATGAAGGTGACATGGATGACCTTGGCTTTGGTTGTAGAATTTGTCTCTATATATGTGGTTTAACCCATGTACGTATATAACATTATATAATTAATGTTATATCATACATGATCCTCCTACTACTTCCCTGGACTGCGGCTTGTCGCACCAAGCAAAGTCCTGCTAGGCTGCTAGGCAGGCAACATGTCGAGTTTTCAAAGGTTCTCAAGCAGTGCATCTCTTTGCTAGGGGCTCCTGGCCTTACTACTAGGAGCGATCGGACGCTACGAACGGGCTTCCTGCATCCTCCCAGAGGTTCAGACTTAGCACTCCGACTCCTCCCCAAGGTCCGCTCTATGGAGTGCTCCCGGTCTTCAGAGGCCACCTGCAGATTGACCGCTTCGGGGCCGTTGTTCATGGTGAGTATCCCGGAGGGTGTCACGGCCATTCCTCGAGGGGCTTTCAAGGACTGCACCTCCATAGCACATTTGACCTTTCCACCAGATGTGACTCAGATTGGAGAGGGGGCCTTTGCAGGCTGCAGCACTTTGAGAAGCGTGACCATTCCGGACTCTGTGACTAGGATTTCAGATGAGGCCTTTGAGAGCTGCCGCTCCCTAAGGAATCTGACCATTCCAAGCAGTGTCGCTGACCTGGGGTCTGGCGCTTTTCGGGGCTGCGGCTCGTTGGCGAGCATCGCCCTTTCAGCGGCTGTGACGCGGATTTCAGCGGCTCTCCTGCAGGACTGCCGGACATTGACACATTTAAACCTGTCGTCGGTGCAAAGCATTGGAGACAGAGCCTGTGCTGGCTGCAGCTCGCTGAGAAGCTTAAAGATTCCGAACGTGATTGAGATTGGGACTCAGGCCTTTGCTGACTGCAGCTCGTTAACCAGCTTGGACATCCCCAACTCGGTGTGTGAGATTGCGGAGAGAGCCTTTTCTGGCTGCAGTTCACTCAGAAGCTTGACACTTCCTGATTCTGTCAGTGAGATTGGGGAGAGGAGCTTTGCTGGTTGTAGCTCTTTGACAAGCTTGACGATTCCGAACTCTGTGACACAGATTGGGGAAGGTGCCTTCGCGGACTGCACCTCCTTGACAAGCTTTGCAATACCTGACTCTGTAACACATGTTGCACGTCAAACCTTTCGTGGCTGCAGTTCATTGACTAGCCTGACAATTCCTGAAACTGTGACTTGGATTGCAGATGAAGCCCTTGATGGATGCTGCTCGTTGAAAAGGTTGAGTATCCCCAATTCGGTGACTGAGATTGGGGAGGGGGCAATTGCTGGCTGTAGTTCGCTGAGAAAATTGTTTATCCCCGATTCTTGGCGCCGAATTCCAGACGAAGCCTTTGATGGCTGTAGCTCGTTGACCAGCTTCAGAATTCCCCAGTCTGTCACGGAGATTGGACGACTGGCCTTTTCTGGTTGCAGCGCGCTCAGGAGCTTGACTTTTCCTGACTCGGTGAGTGAGATTGGAGAGGGCGCCCTCGTTGGCTGCAGCTCATTGACAACTTTGGCCATTCCGAACTCTGTGAAGGAGATTAGAGAGAGGGCCTTTGCTGGCTGCAGCTCCCTGAGAAGCGTGACAATTCCAATGTCGGTGACTGAAATTGGAAATAATGCCTTCGCCAACTGCAGCTCTTTGACCAGCTTGACCATTCCAGACTCCGTGGTCAGGGTTGGAGCTCGTGCCTTTCTGAACTGCAGCTCCTTGAGAACCTTGACCATTCCCCATTCCTTGAGGGATATCGGATACAACGCCTGGCCAGGCAGTAACACCTTGAGCCGTGCCAACCAGAGGGGTGGCAGCTCCAGCGCTGCGTCAAGGGCAGGTGTGCGCGACGCTTGGGACAGGTACTATGGCTAGGTCCGACCCAGGGTCGGGCGCTGAACTCCCTGCAGCCGGACCATGGGCAGAGTAAGATGGATGAAGCCTGTAAGTCTGACTCCAGCCTCAGTAGAGCCTCAACTACCCCGGTGACCAGCTCATCCTTGCAGTACAAGACGGGCAGGCTAGCTGAATCGGCTTGGATGATCCAAAACAACCCTTTTGGAGCGGGCAGCGGGATCAGATCCGGCGAATGGAGCAGATGTATTCCTTGACATCATTCTGGCTACGTGGATGCGGCCCTGAATCCTGTACCAAAAGGTGATTTCCAATGTTTTCCATGGAGCCATGAATTGCAGGCCGTGTTCTGTGTCAAAGTGCATTGGCACAGCAGAACCTCCCAGACTTCGAGGCTATGTGGGAGGCATTCACCAGCCGGCTGAGCCAGGGCCAAATGGCGCGCAGTTGCAAGCTGCGCCAGTTGCAAGCTGGACTGGGGGGAGTTGGAGTCTATAAAACTGGCCTATTGAATCAGCAGCTCACCATACGTTATATGTTTAGTTTATTATATATTTGGGGCGGAGTTGGTGCTCTCCTTGGTTTCATTCCTGGGACAATTGAATTTGATGTTCCATGGACGTTCCCCGCCACCGAAATCATAACGTTTCCTTGAACCAGGTCTGCTTCCGAAGAGGGCAGCTGTGGGGCCCCCTCCCTCCGCTCTCCAGGGACGTCTACTTCCTGAGAATGGCAATGATAGGTTTCCCCTTCAGCTTCATATACAAGTTGCATCCATTTGCCTCAATGCGCTGCTGGAGTTTCCGGGGATTGACGAAGCCATCCTGCCATACAAAACCACCAGGGCCGCAAGCTGCTCGTTCAACATCTCACAAGCCTTTGTTTCATACATAAATCATATGTATTATTTTGTTGACCCTGCCCCCCCTCATGTTCATACAATTGGTACACGAATTCAATAAATGTAGATGCAGGGATCGGTGTGTGTGTGTGTGTGTCACCCCCTGTGCCAAAGGGTTCACTGCCACGGTTTTCCATTACAACCACTCCACGAGGCAGGGGGCGACAGGGTCACTGCATAGCTGTCGCCAACGAAGCTCTATGCAGCTGACCAGGATGCAGGGACTGATCATCCCTGTGTACCTGCTATAACTTTTGAACACGCTGTCCAATTCGATCGGTTTGATTCATGGTCCTTCATGCTACCTGCCCCTCAAACCATTTTTCCCACCGCAGACATGCAGCCGACTTGCAGCAGCGCTGAGTGTCCGTTCCTTCGAGTGCGCTTGCAAACATTGTTAAACAATACCTTTTCACGGACTCTGCCACCTTGCCGTTCCATCGCCATTTTGCCTGGGAATTGAGTGTAACTGAAAACCAATGTCAGAGTGTGTGTGCCCACTCCTGTGCATACAAGACTCGAGTCTTGATGGATGTCTAACTGCCTTTCAGACAAATCCTGGAACCGGTGTTCAAGAACAATGCATACCTTAGATTGATTGAGACATGTTTCTCTTATGGGAAATGATAACCCCGCTGTTTAAAGTAGATAACTCCTGGAGAGGTACAGTGTATATATATATAGCCGTATAGCAGATGGACCCTGGAAACAACAAAATGAAGACTTAGATATTTCAGAAATTAAGATGCACCAACGATAAATTAAAGACATGGAAATCACAAACACTAAGAACAGCCAAAAGGAGTTTAGCATTTGGAGACTGTCTTAGCTTCACTCAAAGTTATATATATAGAGTTTGGTGGCTTCAAGGGGGTACCATGTTCAGATTGTTTTTTTGTTGAGTAGGGATTGATAAGGAGTTTTCACCAGACGGTTGTGGATTTTGATGACTTGCAGTTATGACATTGAAGATGAACATATAAATAGTATATATATATAATTATATTTATGTTTATTTATGTTTCAGGAACCCCAAAAAGGAACCAACGAGTAAATTCATGTAAGCCCCAAAGGAAAACAATCAAGGACAAATGGACAATCATCAACTCCCAATGAACAGCAATGAAACATGTATGACAGGCAGCAAAAGGCCGTTTAAGGATCAGCAAGTACAATAAAGATACACAATTTCGAGCAAATCCCATGGACACCAATCAAAAACACATACGGAAGTCATCATTTCCCAACAGCAATGGAAAATCAATGGCAAGCGACAGAAAGCCTTTTGAGAATTCGGCAACATGCACCAATGATAAAGAATATGGGAAACCACCCTCCTTATTTAATATCAAAAGAAGTGGGGGGGGTTAGGCTGTGAGTTGAGATGTTTAGGGTTAGGTTTCAAATCACATCACAAAATGATTAGAAGATGGTTTTTATGCCGCCATGTTCTCCTTTCTGTTATTTTTTTGTGTGCTGCACCTTTTTGCTTGAAAGAACGGCCGTGGTAGGCACTGAACTGTGTATTCGTTTCCCGTGGCCCATTTGGATCCCTTTGTTCAGGCACCAGACACTTGTTTCACTTGTTCGTTCACCCGCCCGGTTCGGGGAATCCGTGGATCGAAGCCATGACCGCCGATGTCCCATGAAGCTTTCAGTGCAACAAATGAGCCACTTGCCGCAACCTTCTCGCTGGTCGGGTCGGGAGACCGCACCGCACGGAGACCGCACCGTTTGCACGTGCTTTGTTGCTTGTTGTCCGTCTCGTCCGTCGGATGGAAACAGCTTCATCGGCGCCGATGGCAGTCACTCGTAGTAAGGAAATAGGTGTTTCGTTCGGGTTTTGGGAGCTGAAGCAGCTGGGTTTACGAGCTATAAATGCCGGTAAGTGATGATAAGTTAGTATCCAGAGATCAGGGAGGTCACAAAGCTCATCCATGCGCTTCTTCGTTTCAACCCACCTGGCCTGTTCCGTTGCTACCAGGTGGGGCAGTTGCGACGATGGAAGCTTCTCCTGACATGACCATCGGCGATTTCAAGAGGCAGCTCCAGGAGCTTCAGGAGGATGAGTCGATGAAAGAGGTGACCATCGTTGAAGTGCTCATGGGTGAAAGAAAGCTTGCGGACAACGAAGAGACCCTGACGCAAGCAGGGCTTTCTCCAGATGTGGTCTTGCAAGTCGTGTTCACTGTTGCTCGGACATCATCCAGACAGAACAATTTCATCAGTTTTTCGTTGAGCCCGAGGTGGACTTGTGATCTAGGTAACGCACGGGAACATCAACGCGTTCAGAAAGCGTGGGTTTGTTGCAGGGCTTTCTTTGCTGAGATCGATTGATCGCCAAATCCCCCCAGTCCAAGGTCCGATCAGCAGAGTGCTCAACAGCACGGGATGCATATTGGTTGATGGGGGGCAATGTAGCAAATCTACTCTTCATGGTACATATCCCAAATGGCGAGAGTGTAGTTCCTTCTTTTGCCTTTAGAGGTTGCAGCTTTCTCGCGTGCTTGAGAATTCCTCAATCTGTGACCGCGATTGGCGACAGGGCCTTTGAAAGCTGCAGCTCACTGAGAAGCTTGACAATTCCTAGCTCAGTGACTGAAATTGGAGAGGGTGCTTTTCAAAATTGCAGCTCCTTGACGAACTTGACAATTCCGGACTCTGTGACTGTGATTGGAGACGTTGCCTTTTGCGGCTGCAGCTCCTTGACTAACTTGACAATTCCTGACTCTGTGACAGAGATTGCAGCCGGCACTTTTGCTAGCTGCAGCTCTTTGACAGGCTTGACCATTCCCAACTCCGTGACGGAGATTGGGGCAGGTGCCTTTGCTGGCTGCAGCTCCTTGAGAAGCTTGAGCATTCCTCACTCCGTGATTGAAATTGGAATTGGGGCCTTTGCTGGCTGCAGCTCTTTGACCAGCTTGGCAATCCCATTGACTGTGAGAAAGATTGGGAACGATGCTTTTGCTCGCTGCACGTCCTTAACAAATTCGACGATTCCTGTTCCTTTGAAGGCTCAGATTGGGATTGGGGCTTTCCCTCGCCAAGCTTGGATCTCTTACTACAGGTAAATTATGGTAAACTGCCTCACTGGAGGTACCCTGTGCGCACGACTGACAAAGACAAACACACTGCCCAGTATCGGCCTTTGCTACGCTGCAAAAGATGGCAGGCTTTTCCTGTTGCTTTCGGAAAGTCACACATGCAGCGACACGCCAGTGGGAGGACAGGAGTTTGTCGATGGAGACACTTGGATACTTTGATCCTTGGTCCTTCTAGTCATTCCTTCAACCTGACTGAACTGATTCATCATCCTGCAGACCACGAGGGTGATTTGTCAAGTCGCAGCCTCCGGCCGATTCACTCACGTGCGGGGAACCAAATGAGTTAAAGCATTCGCGAAGCCAAGGACGCTGACCGCGAGTTGTACCAGGGGCCCAGTTCACCTTTGTAATTACTTGTTTCACCCAGTTCACCTCGTTCGACCCACACACACACAGTTTTAATTCAATCATACCCATTCAGTGGATAACTTTTACTGAAGGAGTCAGTCAACAAACGTTATGAACTACAACAACAACAACAATAACATGATTTTTAGCGACAACATGAACACGTTTTGTTTGTTTTGAATTCTCCACGTGTGGCGCCTGCGTTGATCGCCGCGTCCTTCGCTTGACCTCGCGCCGGAGCCCGCGTCTCAGACCCTTCGTGTTGGAGCCTTCCGTGGTGGAGTCCTTTGGTTGGCCCCTGGACCGTTGGAGCCAGCTCCGCTATTTCGAGCAACATCCCCAGGCAGGTGGAACGAGGATGGGTGGTGGAACCGGATCGGGTAATGCATCGAGTTGGTGAGTTGGTGGGTGAAACCCCCGAAATTCTGGGGAAGAGGAAGAGGTGGTTTCTTGATGCAATTTATATGTTGAATAATTGTCCCGAGGTTCTCCCAGACCATGATATTGGAAGAATTATGCCACCATGGATGGGTCATTTTCATGGAATAAATGATGAGACATGTATGTAACTAGTCCCACGGATGGTTTGGGGCCCAATCCCACCAGTTTCAATCTTCTGTGATTTCTCCTGTGACCATGACCATGACGATACCTTGACCTGAGCCGTCCGACCATCCGACCTGAGCCTGGTCTCCATCGACTCATTCGGCCACAAGGTCGACACCGGAACGCCCTTTTTTCGATCCCAAAAGGTCCAAGCCATGGAGCAGCTCTTCAACAGCTCCGAGGGCTTCCGGCCCATCGCCGTGCGCTGCTCGCCGCGCGCAGGCGGTTTCCGCGGAAAACCGAGGTTCGGGGTGGGGGTGGTTGTCTGGTACAACTGGAGAATGTGATGCCGCAAGTTGTGGTGAAGATCATGCGAACAGAACAGGGGGGGTGGTTGTTTGGTGCTGCAGTTGAGGTATATAGGCTAGGCTAGGTATATATTATATGCCGATATTATACTCATTTTCTTTAATTACTTTGTATCATGACAGTGGACGCTGGCCATTTAGAATAACTACTTACTTTCCTCTACAAGCAGGAATTATGATTGTCCATTCTTTTTGGAGGGAGGGTAGGGAGGGTAATTGCTGATAAGCAATACACGGTAAGATACGGACAACATGTTGTATCATAGTAGATCCTGACATCACCTTGTTTGCTCTGTATGAAGGAACTTCCAAACGAACGCAACTGAAGGCCGGTATACTGGCCCAATTTACAGTGGTTTCAGAGTAAATGGCACAAACCACAAGATGACAAGTAGATGGAGGTCCATCTAACCACCAAACTAGGAGAAAAATCGTCCAATCTACTCTCAATCCACTAAATGCAGACTTGGGGGAGGTGGTGAAGATTGGTGAAGTGCGGAGGAAAAAGTCTTCACCAAACACCACCTCAGCGTCTTCCGTGTGATAGGAGGAAAGTGACAAAATGGATGAACCCTAAGAACCCGCGCCCAAACCAATACATACGGTTTTGAGATGTTTTGAGGGTCTGCACCCCTGCTATGGAGGGCTCAAGGATTCTTAGGGGAGCACCTTTGTCCATCGATCGGACATCAGAAGCGGGTGAAGAGCTGGGCGACGTGATAGAAGCAGTTCTTTGGAAGCAGAGTTGTGAGAGGTACATCATCCACTTGTCCAAGATGATACACCCTGGAAGACGATCCCATGGACCCTGAAAACCACTGGTTGCTAGAGGAAAACCATCTTCCAGGGGACCTGAAACGTCGTCAGGGTCGTGAGTCACATCGGTTCGTGTAGACGAAAGGGTCGAATGGGCTTGCACAGTACTGGCGATGGGCTCAGCCAGCGATGAACCCGACTTGTGGAGCACCTGTTTGTATGGCCACCTTCGAACAGACCAGACTTAGCAGAGGAGCTCGATCGTGTTCACATCATCGTGTAGCGAATGGGACACTCCATGAGCGAGCTTATGCCGACACCGGGTCAGCCCCCCCAATCCTATCGAGTGTTTGTGTGTGTTTTTCCTCTCAATTGCCTGATAAGTGAAGCCAAGGAAATTTCCTTTCAGGCCCCGCCTCGTCCGACCATGTCAGACCTGTCAGGGTATGTATTCTTAGGGCACCGTGTAGTCCGGGAGTCATGGCGGAACATCTGACCCAGGCAGAGTCCGCAGCCACGGGTCGTAGTAAGGACCCAGGTGTTCGGTCTATCTATGTCGATGGTTTTAGTCGAACTGGAATACTGATTACCAGCTTTATATTGGTGACTGGATCCCCTGGGGAAGCGCTGGTCCCTTCGGCCACTCTTCTGAAGACCCGTTACCAGGCGATGACCACAGCGGAGACTTGGACTCAGATATTGCTGGTGCACCTGGCTCGCCATAGGGAAGGCCACATCCCACACCAAAAACAGAAGATTGAAGGTGCAGACTCTCCATCAGCTCAAGCTGTTGAGATAGCTGTGCTAGCTTTGCCATTGCTATCCATTAATAGGAACCAAGCAGTGTACTGGAAGTTTTGTACCAAAAAGGCCTTGTTTCCAGACTGTGGCAGGACCTTCGACGAGCGTGGCACCCTCGTCGGCGTCTTTGCCGCTGCCGTTCGTTTTGTGGCCCTGCGAACTGTTTCATGTTAGCCACAAATTGTCAAACTGTTTGTCTACATAATTATGCAATATGTTTGACTAAGACTGTTAAACAAATTACGTCAGTGGACAATATACCATATGTTTGTTAGATTGAAGGGTTCAAGGATAAAGGGTGCAAGAGCATGAATCCCTTTTGAATCCTTCTCCAGGCCCGTGCTCGAAGTTCCTGAATGCCGACAGAAGTGAACCCCGGTTGTATCTCTCTCCAAGGCCAAACACTCACTGGACTCACATTTTCTGCCATAACCCACAAGTTGTCAAGGGTATTGCCCCAAGTCATGCCTTTTCAGTCTTTTTTGATGCACTTTCAGTGTACTTTCTAGGCCTTCAGCTCAACAAATTCGTTCTTCGGACCGCCTCGGCCGCTTGTATTCCCCATGGCTCTCCGTCGCTGGGGCCGCGCGAACACGCTGACGGTTCCAGAAGAGGAGGCGTCGGTCGCAGTGCAGGCTCCGGTGCGGCGCTGGTGGCACGGCTGAGGAACGAACTCCTGGATAGGACAGGACTATCAGCACCCGAGTCTGTACAGGTCGGCCACCCCATGGGAAGAACGTAGTGGATGGGGGGCACGGCCCCGGCGGACATACCTTTGCCTTCGGTACAACTCAGAGGGGAAAAACAGCTAAGATCTCAGATCTAAAGAATAGGGAATTGGTCCAGCCACGGGCCCTCAAGATGCAAACAGATCAATAGTTCTGGCTGCAGACACGGTATTTATACGCGCTCATCTCACAGCAGACCCTTTGCAAGATACCCCACCCAAAAAGAGACCTTGCGCTTATATATAGCTTGAGCTTCTATTCCAAGAGCGGTCTTCATAATCTGTTGCATGTTTTGACCACTTGGGGCACCCACTCAGGCTGCATAGCGCAGAGAAGAAGCTTCATGAGCAAGAGCTGGACGAGCAACTCCTTGAAGGCCCATGCTCCTGGTCAGCAGAAGTGGCCGACCGGAACTGGACCCCTTACCATATCTAAATAGCAGTGAGATAATTTGGACTTCAGGGGTTGGGTACCTCGTTTTTTCATCGAGCTGCCCAACAACACAAAACCATTTATACAGAGCTTCATTTTGCACATCGCTACAGTAGTGGTGGATGTGCCGGATGTCTCTGACCCAAGGTCCCACCGTCTCCGCCCTGCCGCAGCGGCGTTCGGGGGCGGCGCCCTCGGCCTCTCATGCCCGCGCGCTGGGGGCGCGCTTTGCGGAAGAGCTGTTTCATCCGCGAAGGGCGGCAGTGTTGTCGTCGCAGAACAAGGCTGGATTCTGGATGTGAGACTTAGGGTCAATGTGGGTATATTATGCCATATTAAATATGCCAGACACGGAGTGTTTTGATTCTTGTGTTTTTTTCCTCATCAGAGGTGTTAGAGAATATGTTGTTCAATTGTGTGCAATTAGTGCAAGATGCGTGCCAGCAATCTCATCTCACCTGCTCTTACTTAGGAAGTCCATCATCCATGTTGTGTGAGGCATGTTTGTTTGGTTCGAAGAACTGTATGTTTTTGGTTTTCAAACGTGTGCGAAAAACAGACCTTGGAAAGTGAACTCAGAGTGCGTTTGGGATCAATATGGATCAATGATCCTCTTGTTTCAGATTGCTGCATGTTTGGCGCTTGGTGTTTCCATATATCTCTTTGACATTCTTTGACTTATATAATCTTTTTGACTTTATTGAGACCCTCTAAGGGTCCCACTACAGAAGACCCTCCTTGGATGATGCTGGTCGCTAGAAGTAAGTACTGATCGCACACCTTTTGAGATGCGCTCTCCAACTGACCCGAACTTTCCTCCCACAACCCACGCAGGGGGGGGGGAGGTTTCCCACCTCCACTTCCATGTGTTCGTTGGAGTCCACTCTCCGCGTGTGCCTCCGCTCCCGTGTGGGAGTCATTAAGACTGGCACCTTGAGTGACCGCCTCACCAGCAGTTGGGTGGGCCTCACCAGCAGTTGGGTGGTCAAGTCTATGTAGCCAAACCTTGGACCCCCTGGACCCTGCTTTTTGCAAGGAGGTTTCGAGAAAATCCGGCACGCCTTGTAATATGTGGATCAGCCGCGGTCGAATTAAGAAGTCCATTTCGCGTGGCCAGTGTGAGAAGCGTCTTGCTGGATTTTATGGGGAAAGGGTTCTCAAGAAGAAAAACATTTGTTAATATAGTGGTGCAGTGTCAAGATTGGCCAAACTTCGCAGGCCGATTTGGTGCTTCGCAATTCATGCTTCCACACTGCTAACCTCCGCAAGCTTTTGGGGTGTGCGAAATCATGCGAGATACATGTTCAGCGCCCAACTCTGGTGGCAGGCGGATTTGGCCTCCGTGATTGGTGAGACCACTTGTGTACAGACCACACAGAAGCTGAGGCAGGACTGTTGTGTAGCTTTTGTCGCTTCCTATTTGTTTTTGGCAGAGTTATTTCCCTGGTTGAGGAGCACATGGAACCCCAAAACCACATAAAACCACATGGATTGGTCGGTCGAAACCACCACAGGGCAATTCCTTCTCAGGTTCCATGGCATCGTTTGTGCAAGTGGTTAGCGTTGGTATTCGGATGTGTGGTAGCAAGCTGTGGCGGCAGGACTCTGGGTGGACCAAAGGATGTGCGTATTGCGTAGCGAAGGTGATGAGATTTATAGTCTGGGGGTTTGGAGGCTGGACCTTTGTTCACCTCGATTGTTCTTTTTTTGCAGGGGGGCTGCGGTTGTTCTGTTCTTCCGAGAACGGATGGGTAGATTAGGATGGATCAGGGGACTATTGGACCACCCACACTACCAAAATTTATAAACCAACCTAGAAATCAACCTCATATGTCGATCACTATATAATGCCTTTGGGGCCCTTAGAATCTACCACCAGACCCTTAAACCACAGAAGGATCCTGCACATCCCAGGCGGGATTTCAGCACTTTAGTGGATGGTGGAGCAGTATACTGGCCAGGTTGCGTATGTACAGCAGACGACCTGACTCTTACCTCGAGATAGGTGATGTGGAGAGGTCGGTGGCGTGTGGAGTTCGAGAGATTCTATGGGAGGAGTGTGCGGTTCTCCTCGGACACGTGAAACATAGTCAGGGAAGAAGCGGACCTTGTAGAAAAGTTGGACTTCCCTCCAGGCGGAATTACATATCACCACCTTCCAATGGATCTCCAATGGAATACCCTATGCTACTGAAAATGAGTTGATGAGAGAGGACTGGGCATTTTCGAGACCACCAGATGGTACCGAAACGCACAGCTACTTCAAAATGAATGCCTTGCCGGTGGCTCACCGGTCGTGTCTCACCGGTCTCCTTCTTTCCTGCGATCGGGGTCGCACACACACACACATCACATGATCTTCAGCTTTTGGTGACCCACCGAGGAGCCTCTTCGAGAAGCTTTACTCCGAGCTCTCGCCCTGGAGTGCCAGTCCCTACCGACGTTCTCGGCATCCTGCCTGCGTGGACGAGCAGATCTTGTTGCGGTCCCCAACGTATCGTGCCTTGGGCGTTGGACCTTTGAAGTTTGTAGGGATCCAGTCGTACGGAACCTCAGAAGGTACGACTGGACCCTCAAAAATAATGTATCCATATGTATCCTTCTTCACCTGAGGTTCGGTACGACTGGATCCCTACGGAGTGAGGTTCTGCCAATCCTCGAAGGTAGAGTCCCAACGGCCTTGAGAGGGTCAACTCCACCCTCCTAGGGAGGGCCCTGATAGTTAGTGTGGTAACAAGCTGATGCCCCTGGAGACAGGGCGTTGGGCAACACTTTCCTAGACAGTGTAGTAGATGGGGAACAACTGACATCAATGGAAAGTGATCAAAGTCATTCCTCTTGGTGGAATTCGGACGCGTCTAAGTTAGTTCGCTTCTAAGTCTTTCAGTGCCTCTTCTGGAGCGAGTTCATCTTGCCCGTCATTCACAACCTGGGCTTCGTAGCGTTCAGTTTTCTAATATTGTGTGTCCTTCCGGTTTCTTGTTCTTGTCGCCACAAGGCACAAAAGATCACAAGTTCACACATTATAATTGGATATAGATCGGTGCATGCGCGCAATAGAAGCGATGGGGTTAAACTTCGAGGCTAGATTGAAATCAATTGGGTCAATCCAATTCCATGCTTCAATGAGCATGCTCTCCCCGCCAGTGCGTCCCCTCAAGCTTGCAACATAGCTCCCTTGTAAAACGTTGCAACAATCCATAGCCATGCCTTGGCGGCTCTTGGGATTGTCTACCAGAAAACGGGGCAGACATGATACATGTACATCACACCCGTGAAAAGGGAGGGGCACCAGGTCGAAAGCTGCTTTGAAGCAGTTGTAGAAGTTTGTTGGTAATTTGTTAGACTCAATGACATGATTTGCCAACAGAACAGGTTCCCCGTATTTCCTCATCAATCATGGAGTATGAACTTATCTAGAATGATACCCCGGTCAGCCGACCCTTGCTTTGTTCTTTTTGAATTGGCTGATGTAGCACGAGAACTGCTCACCCACCAAAAAGGCACTGCCGCTGGCCCACTTGAAGCTCAGACGGGTGGTGTCGAAAAGGCTCAAAGCCCAAAATCAATCCCTAATCATCCTCAATCATTAAGAATGGAGTCATTCAATCCATTCTCCCATCGTTGTCCTCTTTCTGGAAATCACTCCCAGTTCGACGATACTTGGCCTCACCGGAAATCAAGGAAACAGTAACGAACTAGACGCCAAAAGAGCACTTG